CGTGCAGGAGTCCCAGTACTGAGTCAACGTGCAGGAGTCCCAGTACTGAGTCAACGTGCAGGAGTACCAGTACTGAGTCAACGTGCAGGAGTCCCAGTACTGAGTCAACGTGCAGGAGTCCCAGTACTGAGTCAACGTGCAGGAGTCCCAGTACTGAGTCAACGTGCAGGAGTACCAGTACTGAGTCAACGTGCAGGGGTACCAGTACTGAGTCAACGTGCAGGAGTACCAGTACTGAGTCAACGTGCAGGTGTCCCAGTACTGAGTCAACGTGCAGGAGTCCCAGTACTGAGTCAACGTGCAGGAGTCCCAGTACTGAGTCAACGTGCAGGGTACCAGTACTGAGTCAACGTGCAGGAGTCCCCAGTACTGAGTCACGTGCAGGGTACCAGTACTGAGTCCAACGTGCAGGGGGGGTAAGCAGGGTAAGTTGATGTAATTGAGGTAATATAGTATGTACATGTAGGTAGGGGTAAAAGTGACTAGGCAATCAGGATAGATAATAAACAGAGTAGCAGCAGCGTATGTGAAGTGTGTCTATGTGTGTGGCGTCAATATGCATGTGTGTGTGTGTGTGTGTGTGTGTGTGTGTGTGTGTGTGTGTGTGTGTGTGTGTGTGCGTGCGTATATGTGTGTGTGTGTGTGTGTGTGTTGTGTGTGTGTGTGTGTGTGTGTGTGTGTGTGTGCGCGTGCGTATGTGTGTGTGTGTGTGCGCGTGCGTATGTGTGTGTGTGTGTGTGTGTGTGTGTGTGTGTGTGTGTGTTGGAGTGTCAGTGTCTAGTGAGTGTGCATAGCAACAGATGTGTGTAGCAGGCCTGCTGTGACAGCCTGTACTTGTGTGTAGCAGGCCTGCTGTGACAGCCTGTACTTGTGTGTAGCAGGCCTGCTGTGACAGCCTGTACTCGCATAAAACCTTTTTGGGAAAACATGCACACAGTAGCAGAGGAGGAGAGAGAGAGAGGAGGAAGAATGGGAGGAGGAGGAGAGAAATGCAGAGAGGGGAGACTCAGGGGAGGACAGGGAGTTGTTGCACTTGCACTCTCTAAGGGAGATAGTGCCTGTGTGTGTGTGTGTGTGTGTGTGGGCTTGCACCTCTGCTGTGCATTGCGTCAGCATGTGCTTTTTCTCTCCATCGCCCTCTCTTCTCTCTCCCTCCCCCATCAGTGTGGCATAGTGAAATATAGCTGTGATGTGGTTATCCTGGACTAGACTACATGTAGCTGTGATGTGGTTATCCTGGACTAGACTACATGTAGCTGTGATGTGGTTATCCTGGACTAGACTACATGTAGCTGTGATGTGGTTATCCTGGACTAGCCTACATGTAGCTGTGATGTGGTTATCCAGGACTAGGCTCCATGTAGCTGTGATGTGGTTATCCAGGACTAGACTACATGTAGCTGTGATGTGGTTATCCAGGACTAGGCTCCATGTAGCTGTGATGTGGTTATCCTGGACTAGACTACATGTAGCTGTGATGTGGTTATCCTGGACTAGACAACATGTAGCTGTGATGTGGTTATCCAGGACTAGACTACATGTAGCTGTGATGTGGTTATCCAGGACTAGGCTCCATGTAGCTGTGATGTGGTTATCCTGGACTAGACTACATGTAGCTGTGATGTGGTTATCCTGGACTAGACAACATGTAGCTGTGATGTGGTTATCCTGGACTAGACAACATGTAGCTGTGATGTGGTTATCCTGGACTAGACAACATGTAGCTGTGATGTGGTTATCCAGGACTAGGCTCCATGTAGCTGTGATGTGGTTATCCTGGACTAGACTACATGTAGCTGTGATGTGGTTATCCAGGACTAGGCTCCATGTAGCTGTGATGTGGTTATCCTGGACTAGGCTCCATGTAGCTGTGATGTGGTTATCCTGGACTAGACTACATGTAGCTGTGATGTGGTTATCCAGGACTAGGCTACATGTAGCTGTGATGTGGTTATCCTGGACTAGACAACATGTAGCTGTGATGTGGTTATCCAGGACTAGACTACATGTAGCTGTGATGTGGTTATCCTGGACTAGACTACATGTAGCTGTGATGTGGTTATCCTGGACTAGACTACATGTAGCTGTGATGTGGTTATCCAGGACTAGACTACATGTAGCTGTGATGTGGTTATCCAGGACTAGACTACATGTAGCTGTGATGTGGTTATCCAGGACTAGACTACATGTAGCTGTGATGTGGTTATCCAGGACTAGGCTACATGTAGCTGTGATGTGGTTATCCAGGACTAGGCTCCATGTAGCTGTGGTTATCCAGGACTAGACTACATGTAGCTGTGATGTGGTTATCCAGGACTAGGCTCCATGTAGCTGTGATGTGGTTATCCTGGACTAGCCTACATGTAGCTGTGATGTGGTTATCCAGGACTAGGCTCCATGTAGCTGTGATGTGGTTATCCAGGACTAGCCTACATGTAGCTGTGGTTATCCAGGACTAGACTACATGTAGCTGTGATGTGGTTATCCAGGACTAGGCTACATGTAGCTGTGGTTATCCAGGACTAGACTACATGTAGCTGTGATGTGGTTATCCTGGACTAGGCTCCATGTAGCTGTGGTTATCCTGGACTAGACTACATGTAGCTGTGATGTGGTTATCCTGGACTAGACTACATGTAGCTGTGATGTGGTTATCCAGGACTAGACTACATGTCTGTAGCTCAGCTGGTAGAGCACGGCGCTTGTAACGCCAAGGTAGTGGGTTCGATCCCCGGGACCACCCATACACAAAAAAATGTATGCACGCATGACTGTAAGTCGCTTTGGATAAAAGCGTCTGCTAAATGGCATATTATATTATTATTATGTAGCTGTGATGTGGTTATCCAGGACTAGGCTCCATGTAGCTGTGATGTGGTTATCCTGGACTAGACAACATGTAGCTGTGATGTGGTTATCCAGGACTAGACTACATGTAGCTGTGATGTGGTTATCCAGGACTAGGCTCCATGTAGCTGTGGTTATCCAGGACTAGCCTACATGTAGCTGTGATGTGGTTATCCAGGACTAGACTACATGTAGCTGTGATGTGGTTATCCTGGACTAGACTACATGTAGCTGTGATGTGGTTATCCAGGACTAGACTACATGTAGCTGTGATGTGGTTATCCAGGACTAGGCTCCATGTAGCTGTGATGTGGTTATCCTGGACTAGACAACATGTAGCTGTGATGTGGTTATCCTGGACTAGACTACATGTAGCTGTGATGTGGTTATCCTGGACTAGACAACATGTAGCTGTGATGTGGTTATCCAGGACTAGGCTCCATGTAGCTGTGATGTGGTTATCCAGGACTAGACTACATGTAGCTGTGATATGGTTATCCAGGACTAGAGAACATGTAGCTGTGATATGGTTATCCAGGACTAGGCTACATGTAGCTGTGGTTATCCAGGACTAGACAACATGTAGCTGTGATGTGGTTATCCAGGACTAGGCTACATGTAGCTGTGGTTATCCAGGACTAGACTACATGTAGCTGTGGTTATCCTGGACTAGACTACATGTAGCTGTGATTATCCTGGACTAGACTACATGTAGCTGTGATGTGGTTATCCAGGACTAGCCTACATGTAGCTGTGATGTGGTTATCCAGGACTAGACTACATGTAGCTGTGATGTGGTTATCCTGGACTAGACTACATGTAGATGTGATGTGGTTATCCAGGACTAGACTACATGTAGCTGTGATGTGGTTATCCTGGACTAGACAACATGTAGCTGTGATGTGGTTATCCTGGACTAGACTACATGTAGCTGTGATGTGGTTATCCTGGACTAGACTACATGTAGCTGTGATGTGGTTATCCTGGACTAGCCTACATGTAACTGTGGTTATCCAGGACTAGGCTCCATGTAGCTGTGATGTGGTTATCCTGGACTAGACAACATGTAGCTGTGATGTGGTTATCCTGGACTAGACAACATGTAGCTGTGATGTGGTTATCCTGGACTAGACTACATGTAGCTGTGATGTGGTTATCCTGGACTAGACTACATGTAGCTGTGATGTGGTTATCCTGGACTAGCCTACATGTAACTGTGGTTATCCAGGACTAGGCTCCATGTAGCTGTGATGTGGTTATCCAGGACTAGACTACATGTAGCTGTGATATGGTTATCCAGGACTAGAGAACATGTAGCTGTGATATGGTTATCCAGGACTAGGCTACATGTAGCTGTGGTTATCCAGGACTAGACAACATGTAGCTGTGATGTGGTTATCCAGGACTAGACTACATGTAGCTGTGGTTATCCAGGACTAGACTACATGTAGCTGTGATGTGGTTATCCAGGACTAGGCTACATGTAGCTGTGGTTATCCAGGACTAGACTACATGTAGCTGTGGTTATCCTGGACTAGACTACATGTAGCTGTGATTATCCTGGACTAGACTACATGTAGCTGTGATGTGGTTATCCAGGACTAGGCTACATGTAGCTGTGGTTATCCAGGACTAGGCTCCATGTAACTGTGAGGAGAGACATCTATTATTTACATTTTAGTCATTTAGCAGACACTCTTATCCAGAGCGACTTACAGTTAGTGAGTGCATACATTATTTTTTCTTCTTCATATTATGAGGAGAGACATCTATTATGAGGAGAGACATCTATTATGAGGAGAGACATCTATTATGAGGAGAGACATCTATTATGAGGAGAGACATCTACTATGAGGAGAGACATCTATTATGAGGAGAGACATCTATTATGAGGAGAGACATCTACTATGAGTGAGATGTTTGATAAGTGTTTGACTGACTGGATGCTCCTGTTAGACAACACAGACAGAACACTAGAGGATGGGTCCAAACAGCCCAGATCCTGATCCAGTCATGATGTGTTTCTCCTACATTAGCTGGTGCAGTGAAGGCTGTAAATACAGGGAGGGAAAGCAATAACCAACGCCCTGTGCAGCACAGCACACACTTTAAAGAGATCTTTGATTCCTCCTCTCTGCATCTATTCTCTCAGTTCTGTTTTGGTGCAGCACCAGCACTCAGAGAGAGAGATCAATCAGAGAGCCGGACTGACTGAATGGAGCCAGAGCCGAGCAGAGCAGACCGGACCAGAGCGGTACGGAGCAGAGCATTGTGGTACGGAGCAGACCAGAGCAGAGCAGAACAGACAAAACAGAGCAGAGCAGATGACTCAATGATCCGCCGAGACTTATATAGACTATATAAAGAATGAGAGAGAGAGTGAGAGAGGATCCGAGCACGTAGCTGCTTACAGACAGACAGGTACACACACAGACAGACAGACAGACAGAGAGAGACAATAGGAAGAGAGAGACAGGCACACAGATATCAATAGGAAGAGAGAGACAGGCACACAGATATCAATAGGAAGAGAGAGACAGGCACACAGATATCAATAGGAAGAGAGAGACAGGCACACAGATATCAATAGGAAGAGAGAGACAGGCACACAGATATCAATAGGAAGAGAGAGACAGGCACACAGATATCAATAGGAAGAGAGAGACAGGCACACAGATATCAATAGGAAGAGAGAGACAGACACACAGATATCAATAGGAAGAGAGAGACAGGCACACAGATATCAATAGGAAGAGAGAGACAGGCACACAGATATCAATAGGAAGAGAGAGACAGGCACACAGATATCAATAGGAAGAGAGAGACAGGCACACAGATATCAATAGGAAGAGAGAGACAGGCACACAGATATCAATAGGAAGAGAGAGACAGGCACACAGATATCAATAGGAAGAGAGAGACAGGCACACAGATATCAATAGGAAGAGAGAGACAGGCACACAGATATCAATAGGAAGAGAGAGACAGGCACACAGATATCAATAGGAAGAGAGAGACAGGCCACACATATATCAATAGGAAGAGAGACAGGCACACAGATATCAATAGGAAGAGAGAGACAGGCACACAGATATCAATAGGAAGAGAGAGACAGGACACACAGATATCAATAGGAAGAGAGAGACGGCACACAGATATCAATAGGAAGAGAGAGACAGGCACACAGATATCAATAGGAAGAGAGACAGACACACAGATATCAATAGGAAGAGAGAGACAGGCACACAGATATCAATAGGAAGAGAGAGACAGGCACACAGATATCAATAGGAAGAGAGAGACAGACACACAGATATCAATAGGAAGAGAGAGACAGACACACAGATATCAATAGGAAGAGAGACAGACACACAGATATCAATAGGAAGAGAGAGAGACACACAGATACCTATACAGTGAGGGGAAAAAGTATTTGATCCCCTGCTGATTTTGTATGTTTGCCCACTGACAAAGACATGATCAGTCTATAATGTTAATGGTAGGTTTATTTGAACAGTGAGAGACAGAATAACAACAAAATAATCCAGAAAAACACATGTCAAAAATGTTATAAATTGATTTGCATTTTAATGAGGGAAATAAGTAATTATCCACAACTCTCAATCAGAAAGATTTCTGGCTCCCAGGTGTCTTTTATACAGGTAGCGAGCTGAGATTAGGAGCACACTCTTAAAGGGAGTGCTCCTAATCTCAGTTTGTTACCTGTTTAAAAAGACACCTGTCCACAGAAGCAATCAATCAATCAGATTCCAAACTCTCCACCATGGCCAAGACCAAAGAGCTCTCCAAGGATGTCAGGGACAAGATTGTAGACCCACACAAGGCTGGAATGGGCTACAAGACCATCGCCAAGCAGCTTGGTGAGAAGGTGACAACAGTTGGTGCGATTATTCGCAAATGGAAGAAACACAAAAGAACTGTCAATCTCCCACGGCCTGGGGCTCCATGCAAGATCTCACCTTGTGGAGTTGCAAAGATCATGAGAACGGTGAGGAATCAGCCCAGAACTACCGTAATTTTCGGACTATAAGCCGCGCCTTTTTTCCCATTTTTCGACCCCTGCGGCTTATATAACGGTGCGGCTAATCTATGGATTTTTACAGCTAACGGCCACTAGAAGACCTCCTAAATCTATGGATTTTACAGGTTACAGTCCACCAACTTTAACTCTATGGGCTCTATGACCGGTCCGCGCCCCCCACCTTTAAGCGGCGGGCTCCAGCAGGAAAAGCTGGAGGCCGGAAAAGAGTGAGACAGGTAGCGCGCAAAAGTAAAAGTGGAACCGAGAGTGGTACGAGAGACAGAACGAGAGCAAGACAGACAGACATTACGAGAGCGAGACAGTTTGTGCAAAGGAAGTTTTCATGCACAAACCCTCATTATGGAAAACAAACGTAGAAATGCATATGATGCAGCTTTTAAGTTAAAGGCAGTCAATCTGGCTGTAAAAGAAGGAAATAGAGCTGCTGCACGTAGCCTTGGCATCAATGAGTCAATGGTGAGACGTTGGAGACGCCAGCGGGAAGAACTGTCTCAATGCAAAAAGTCAAAAAAAGCTTTCAGAGGTAATAAAAGCAGATGGCCCGAACTTGAAGACTTTCTTGAAGATTGGGTGAACACACAGAGAGCAGACGGCCGAGGTGTTTCCACCGTGCAGATCCGACTGAAAGCTGAAACAGTCGCCACCGAAATGAAAATTGAAAATTTTAGAGGTGGACCATCCTGGTGTTTCAGATTTATGAGACGAAAGGGACTCTCCATCAGGGCGGCGGACGACTGTGTGTCAGCAACTCCCTCCCGACTACCAGGAAAAAATAACAAACTTCGGCGAATTCACACAAAGAATGATAGAGGAATATTCCATCGGACCGGACCAGATCATAAATATGGATGAAGTGCCTTTGACGTTTGACCTGCCTCTCACTAGGACTGTTAACAAGAAAGGTGAATCGTCCATCACGTTGAGAACCACTGGCCACGAGAGAACGAATTTCACTTGTGTTCTTGGCTGCACAGCATCTGGATTAAAGCTTCCGCCAATGGTGATTTTTAAGAGGATTACAATGCCAAAAGAAAAGATCCTGAACGGCATCTCCTTTAAAGTCAACAAGAAAGGGTGGATGATGGAAAGCGTAATGAATGAGTGGCTGAATGAGTGCTACGTCAAGCGCTCTGGAGGATTATTTCGCCAAAAAAAAGCTTTGCTCGTTTTGGACAGCATGAGGGCCCATATAACGGATTATGTGAAAGCAGCCATCAAGAGCACAAACTCGATTCCAGCTGTGATTCCTGGGGGCACAACGAAGCATCTGCAGCCACTCGACATCAGTGTCAATCGTGCGTTCAAAGTGGCACTACGCGTTCAGTGGGAGGCGTGGATGACTAGCGGCGATAAATCATTCACCAAAACTGGTCGCATGCGAAAAGCAACATTCGCTCAAGTTTGCGAGTGGATCCTGATAGCGTGGAGGAGTGTCAAAACATCCACGATCATTAACGGGTTCCGAAAGGCTGGACTGCTGCGTGATGAAGAGGAGGACGCCGCCACAGCTGAGGCCCTTCAGAGTCTGTTCGATTCCGACAGTGACGAAGAGGAGGAGTTCGTTGGTTTTGAGAGCGTCAACGAAGGAGAGAGGAGAGTGGCTGACGAAGCCACCCTGAGCCTGTTCGTTTCCGACACTGAAGATGAGGACTTTGGTGGTTTTAGTACGCAGGAAGAAGACGGAGATGAGGATTAATGACTTGACTTTTCTGGTTACAGCAGTGTACTGCACCTTAGCCTAAAAGATGAAGACGAGGATTAATGACTTTTCTGGTAGGCTGATTACCGTATATTTTAAGCAGCCGTGTTGCTGCAACTTTAAGTTTACGCGCTTACTGTCGTGTTACAGGCACTTTATTTTGCACTTTAAAAAAAACACATTTAATTTAGCCATTGATATTGCCTCGTCAAGCGCTGTAAGCTTAGTTTTTTGTTATGGTACTACTGTAGGCTATAATGTAGATAAATATTCAAAGATGAGCACACTTTTTCAAGGTTTTTCAAAAATAACCAAAGTTAAGTGGTTAAATGATTGTGACGCTATTAACTAATTTTGCTGGAATACGTTATGCAAATATGCAACTTGTTTGTTGAAATGTTAATAAATGGGAGCTTCCTCAAGCAGCCATCTCTTTCCCGACAATCCCCTCTGTGCACGAACCCTTACATATGGTAATTAAACATTAAAACACCTGCGGCTTATAGTCCAGTGCGGCTTATATATGTACACATCATTCAATATCATTCAATTTAGCTGCTGCGGCTTATACTCCGGTGCGCCTTATAGTGCGGAAAATACGGTACACGGGAGGATCTTGTCAATGATCTCAAGGCAGCTGGGACCATAGTCACCAAGAAAACAATTGGTAACACACTACGCCGTGAATGACTGAAATCCTGCAGCACCCGCAAGGTCCCCCTGCTCAAGAAAGCACATATACAGGGCCATCTGAAGTTTGCCAATGGACATCTGAATGATTCAGAGGAGAACTGGGTGAAAGTGTTGTGGTCAGATGAGACCAAAATCGAGCTCTTTGGCATCAGCCAGTCTCCAGACCTTAATCCCATAGAAAATCTGTGGAGGGAGCTGAAGGTTTGAGTTGCCAAACGTCAGCCTCGAAACCTTAATGACTTGGAGAAGATCTGCAAAGAGGAGTGGGACAAAATCCCTCCTGAGATGTGTGCAAACCTGGTGGCCAACTACAAGAAACGTCTGACCTCTGTGATTGCCAACAAGGGTTTTTCCACCAAGTACTAAGTCATGTTTTGCAGAGGGGTCAAATACTTTTTTTTTTTTTACATGCGTTTTTCTGGATTTTTTTGTTGTTATTCTGTCTCTCACTGTTCAAATAAACCTACCATTAAAATTATAGACTGATCATTTCTTTGTCAGTGGGCAAACGTACAAAATCAGCAGGGGATCAAATACTTTTTTCCCCTCACTGTAGGAAGAGAGAGACAGACAGTTTGAACACAGGATATTTTATTTATGGCCATAACAACATCCCAGCAGCAGGGAAGATGGACACAGGCCATCGTAGACAGACAAACAGACAGAGCCAGGCGAGGTGGACTGAGGGAGAGATAGGGTTAACGACAGGGATTTTAGTTTAGTGCAAAGTTAGAGGGAAAGAATAGTAAGACAATTTGAGCTAATTTTGCTTTTTACCACCAGTCTTACAATGTGTTACAATAACGTAAACAGACCCCACGTCTCCACAGAGGACATGATCCCAGTTAAATGATACCCTTCAGGGAGTAGGTCGGGCTATGCATTCCTGAGCACCTCAAACTAACAAAGGCATTCCCCCACAAAACCAACCCTGCTACTGTTAAGTTAGGACCAACCAATCCCGCTATAGTTAGTCTCATTTCACAGTCACTGCGCCTCCAGTACAGACCATTATAGTGGGCCTGTATTGGGCCTGAAAGGGAAATAGCTTCCCATCTGTCTAGTTGTTCCAGTGAAGGAGGGAGCTTCTTGTTGTGCAGGTCAAGGTAGTCTGTGGAGGCCTAGGCTACGTACAGTTCAGTCAACTTCAACTCTCTCACTCCTCCTCCCTCACTTCCTGAACCCTTTGCCTCCTCTTACTGAGAGAAGTGACAAAATGTGTGATGAGCTGTACTGTAGAGGATTACGTTACACACACAGTTGGATAATTAGAGCGCATACAGAGTCACTCTGGCCGAGTCGCTCTCGCTCCTCCTCTTCTCTCTCTCTCTTCTCGAGTCGCTCTCACGCTCGCCTCTCCCTCTCTCTCTCTCCCCTCTCTCTCTCTCTCCCTCTCCGCGTCTCTCCTCGCTCTCTCTCTCGCTTCGCTCTTCCCCCGGCTCATCCCCCTCTGCTCTCTCCTCCTCTCCTCTCACTCTCCGCCGTCGCTCTCTGCTCAACTCGCTCTCTCTCTTCTCCTCTTCTCCCTCTCTCCCGAGTCCTCATCTCAGCTCTCTCTCTCTCTCCGGTCGCTCTCATCTCCTCCTCCTCTCTCTCTCCGCTCCTCTTCTCACTCTCCTTCCTCTCTTGCCTCGTCTCTCACTCTCCTCTCTCTCTCCTCTCTCTCTCTCTACTCTGAGTCGCTTCGCTCTCTCTCGCTCCTCGCTCTCTCTCTCTCTCTCTCTCTCCGATCACTCTCTCTCCTCCTCTCTCTCTCTCTCCTCTTCGCTCCTCGCTCTCTCCTCCTCTCTCTCTCTCCGAGTCGCTCTCCCGCTCTTCCTCTCTCCCGCTTCGCTCTCGCTCGCCTCTCTCCGCTCCCATCTCTCCTCGCTCTCTCTCTCTCTCTCCCGTAGTCGCTCTCCCACCTCTCTCCCGTCTCTCCTCTCTCCTCTCTCTCTCCTCTTCGCTCTCGCTCTCCCTCCCTCTCGTCTCTCATTCTGTTCTCTCTCTATTTCTCTCTCACATCTCTCTCATCTCCCTCTCCTCTCCTCTGTCTCTCCTAGTCTCTCTCGCTCTCGCTCTCTCTCCTCCGTCGTCTCTCTTCTCTCCGCTTCTCTCTCCGCACCTTCCGCTCTCTCCTCCTCTCCGTCCTCTCACTCTCCGCTTCGCTCTCCTTGCCTCTCTCTCTCTCTCCTTATCCGAGCTCTCTCCCCCCTCCGCTCTCTCTCTCTCTCCGAGTCGCTCTCTCTCTTCTCTCTCTATTCGCTCTCTCTCTCACTCTCTCTCCGATTCTCTCTCGCTCTCCCTCCTCTCTCCTCTCTCTCTCTCCGCGGTCGCCTCAACGGCCCGCCCTCTCTCACAGGCCGCTCCTCCCTCTCTTCCTCTCTCTCGTCCGTCTCTCTTCGCTCCTCCATCTCTCTCCGAGTCGCTCCCTTCTCTTCTCCACTCCTCTCTCCGCTTCTCTCCCTCCCGCCTCTCCCTCTCCGAGTCTCTCTCCGAGTCTCTCTCCGAGTCTCTCTCGCTCTCTCCGAGTCTCTCGTCTTCTCTCTCCGAGTCTCTCCGAGTCGCCGTCCTGCTCTCGTCTCGCTCTCTCTCCGAGTCTCTCTCCGCTTTCTCTCTCTCACTTCTCTCCCTAGTCTCTCCGAGTCGCTCTCGACTCTCTCCGAGTCTCTCCGAGTCGCTCTCTCCGAGTCGCTCTCTCTCTCTCCCGAGCTCTCTGCTAGCTCTCTCTCTCTCCCTCTCCCTCCTCCGATCGCCCTCCCCCCTCCAGCTCTCCTCGTGCCTCTCTCTCTCTCCTCTCCCTCGTCGCTCTCGTCTCTCTCTCGTCATCTCTTCCCTATTCGCTCTCGCTCTCCTCTCCTATTCTCTCTCCGCGTCGCTCCTCTCTCTCTCTCTCTCCGAGTCTCTCCTCGTCACTCTCCCGCGTCTCTCTCCGATTCTCTCCGCCTAGTCTCTCCCGTTCTCTCTCAGGGTCTCGCTCTCACCTCTCCTATCTCTCTTCACTCTTCCTCTTCTTCCCCCTCTCTCTCTCTCTCACCGCGCTCTCCCGCGTCTCTGCTCTTCCTCTTCTCTCCGAGTCCTCTCCGCGTCGCTCTCCGCTCCCCGCTCCTCGCTCCTCTCCTCACTCGCTCGTCTCCGAGTCTCTCCCGAGTCTGCTCTCATCTCTCAAATCCGCGGTCCTCCTAGTCGCCTCTCCCCGTCTCTCGCTCTCTTCCCCTCTGCTCGAGTCCTCTTCTATCTCTCCGAGTCTCTCTTTCTCTCGCTCTCCCTCCCTCACCCCTCCGAGTCTCTCTCCGAGTCTCTCTCCTGAGGCTCTCATCTTCTCCGCTCTCCGATTCTCTCCCCAGTCTCTCTCCGAGTCGCTCCTCTCCGAGTCCCCTCGTCTCTCTCCGATTCGCTCTCCGCCTCACCGATCGCTCCCTCGCTCTCTCCTCACTCCTCCCCGATTCTCTTCATATCCTCTTCCTCCTCTTCGCCCTCGTCTCTTCAGAGTCCTCACTCCGCTCTCCCCGAGTTCTCTCTCAAGTCTGCTCGCTCTCTCAGAGTCTCTCTCCGAGTCTCTCTCGGAGTCTCTCTCGCTCTCTCCGAGTCTCTCTCGCTCTCTCTCTCTCGCTTCGAGTCTCTCAGTCTGAGTCTGAATCTCTTTCGCTCTCTGAGTCCGAGACTCAAATTCAAGCTACTTTGTTGGCATGAAAAACATTGCGTCAATATTGCCAAAGCAACAATGTAGACAATAGACACTGTAATAAAATGTTAGTAAATAACAATAAGAATTAAAACAAAAAAAAAGTATCTCATGAAAGGAATGAGGGGGCTGAGATTGAATCATCCAGTTGTAGACTGTTGAATGGTTTGGTTAGTCATAGAGCAGCACCTGTTACCATATGAACATACCGTATCAAGTCTGATCTGTGCTGTGACACACCCGTACACGTCTGTTGGAGGTGACTCAGACTCATGTTTGCACTAGCGGGGTGGGTGAAAATATGGGTTTGTGTAAAGCAGCTCCTGCCTCCCACCTTAGTAGCAAGATTTCCTTTGTGATGTAGGGTGTTGTTTCCTATTCTAATCTACAGAATGAGGATGCGTCCCAATGGCAAAAGCCCTATCCCTATATAGTGCACTACTTTATACCATAGAAGCAGCAACCCTAATTCCCTATATATGCACTAGCTCTACTTTAGACCAGAGAAGAATGGCACCCTATTCCCTATATAGTGGCACTACTTTAGACCAAGAAATGGACATGGCACCCTATTCCCGATCTAGGTGCACTTCTTTATACCCGAGAAGGCCATAACACCCTATTTTCCTATATAGTAAAAACTACTTTAGACGCATATATATGTCACCCCTATTCCCTGTATAGTGCACTTTACTTTAGACCCAGATAATGGCACCCTATTCCCTATATAGTGCACTACTTTAGACCAGAGCAGGCACCCTATTCCCTATAAGTGCACTACTTTAGACCAGAGAATGGCACCCATCTCCTATATAGTCACTACTTTAAGACCATAGAAGCCGCACCCTATTCCCTATATAGTGCACTACTTTAGGACCAGAGAATGGTCAACCCTATTCCCTGTCATAGTGCACTACTTTAGGACCAGAGAATGGCACCCCTATTCCCTATATAGAGTAGTGGCACTACTTTAGACCAGAGAATGGCACCCGACTATTTCCCCTATTATTGGCAGCTACTTTCGACCAGAGAATGGCACCGCTATTCCCTATATAAGTGCACCTACTTTAGACAGAGATGGCAACCCTATCCCTATATCGTGCACCTACTTTGAGAGCCAGAGATGGCACCCTATTCCCATCTATTGCAACTACTTATAGACCAGAATGGACCCTATCCCTATATAGTACAACTACGTTTAGTAGACCAGAGAATGGACCCTATTCCCTATATAGTGCACTACTTAAGAACGCAGATACTGTGTCACCCCCCTATTCCCTATATAGTGCCACTACTTTAGACCTAGAGAATTGCACCGATTCCCCTATATATGTCAACTACTTTAGACCAGACCAGAGAGCACCCCTATTTCTCCTATATAGTACCACTACTTTAGAACCAGAGAAATGGCACCCTATTCCCTATAGAGTAATCACCTAACTTTAGAACTCAGAGAATGGCACCCTATTCCCTATATGTACACTCTTTTAGACAGAGAATGGCACCCATTCCCTTTATAGTGCACTAACTTTAGACCAGAGATGGCACCCTATTCCCTATATAGTACACGACTTTGACATAGAAAATGGCAACCCTATTCCCCTATATAGTGCACTACTTTAGACAGAGAATGGCACCCCCTATTCCCTATAATAGTGCACTAACTTTGACCAGAGATGGCACCGCCCTATTCCTATATAGTGTCCTACTTTAGGACCGAGAATGGCACCCATTTTCCCTATATAGTACACTAACTTTAGACAAGAGAATTGCACCTATTCCCTATATAGTGGCACTACTTTAAGAGACCCAGGACATTGCACCCTATTCCCTATATAGTGCCCTACTTGTAGACCAGAGAATGGCACCCTATTTCCCTATATAGTGCACTATCTTTAACCAAGAATGGCACACCCGTATTTTCCCTATATCGTGCACACTTTGACCAGAGAATGCACCCTATTCCCTATATAGGGCACTACTTTAGACCAGATGAACGGCACCCCCTATTCCCTATATGTGTCCTACGTTAGACCAAGAACCGGCACCCTATTCCTATATAGTGGCCCTACTTTTAGACCAGAGAATGGCCACCTATTTCCCTATAAGTACACTAGACTCTTTTGACCAGGGTCCATAAGGTAGCTTCAATCCCTCCCTCCTCGCTCCCTCTGTCCACCCTCCCTCAGTCTCTCCCCATCTCTGTCCACCCTCCCTCAGTCTCTCCCCATCTCTGTCCACCCTCCCCTCTCGGCACTGGCAACCTGCCCTTTCTCTCCCAGAGACTATCAGATCAGTTAGACAGCGCCCCGGACACAAAGAGAACCTGACAGGGATCCATCCTCCTAAGCTCTGCTGGCCAACTGGTGACGGGACAACACACACAAAACCAAAAACAAACCAAACAAAACACACACACACACACACACCACCACAATCAACACACACTCGGATCACACACACACAGATTACCAGAGCTCAACACACCGATATATTCCCATGCTAGATGATATAATTTTTCCCAATGGCTATAGAAAAGCTAACCTCTTGTTTACAGCATGAAGATTCAGAGTGGCCTGTTTTCCTGTCTGGTTCACAGGATCGTTACACTGATGGAACAAGCTCTCTCCTCCCTCCTCCCTGCTCCCTCCTCCCTGCTTCTTCTTTCTTCTCCTCCTCCCTGCTTCTCCTCCTCCTCCCTGCTTTCCTTCTTTCCTCTCCCTCCTCCCTGCTCCCTCCTCCCTGCTCCCTGCTTCTTCCTCCCTCCTCCCTGCTCCCTCCTCCCTGCTCCCTGCTTCTTCCTCCTCCCTCCTCCCTGCTCCCTCCTCCTTCCTCCTCCCTCCTCCCTGCTTCCTCCTCCCTCCCTCCTCCCTTCTTCTCTTCTTTTCTTCTTTCTTTCTTCTCCTCCTCCCATCCCTCCCTGCCTTCTTCTTCCTCCTCCTCCCTCCTCCCTGCTTCTTCCTACCTCCTCCCTGCTTCTTCCTCCTCCCTCCTCCCTGCTTCTTCCCCTTCTTCCTCCTCCCTCCTTCTTTCCTCCTCCCCTCCCTTCTTCTTTTTTATCTCTGCTTCTCTCCTTCCTCTCCCTCATCCCTCCTCCCTTCTTCTCTTTCTTCCCTCCTCCTCCTCCCTTCTTCTTCCCCTCCCCCCATCCTCCCTGCTTCTTCCTCTCCTCCCCTCCTCCCTGCTTCTTCCCTCCTCCCTTCTTCTTTCCCTTCTTTCTTCCTCCTCCTCCCCCCCCTCCTCCCTTCTTCCTTTCCTCCTTCCTTCCCTCCTCCCTGCTCCCCTCCTCCTGCTTCCCTATCCCTTCTTCTTCTTTCTTCCGCCCTGCTTCTTCTTCTTTCCCCTCCCTTCTCTTTCTCTTTCTTCTCCCTTGCTCTTTCTTCTCACTTCCTCTTCCTCCCTCCTCCCTCTCCCTCACCCCTGCTCCCTTCTTCCTTCTTTTCCCTCCCTCCCTCCTCCCTTTCTCCCTTGCTTCTTCCTCCTTCCCTTTTTCCTGCTTCTTCTCCTCTCCCTCCTCCCTTCTTCCTCCCCCTCCCTCCTCCCTCCCCTGCTCCCTGCTCTTCCTCTTGCCTCCCCCTCCCCTCCTTCCCTGCTTCTATTTCTATCTCCCCTCCTTTTCTTCTTCCTCCTCCTCCCTCCTCGCCTGCCTTCTTCTTCCTCTTCCTCTCCTCCTCCTCACCTCCTCCCTTCTTCTCCCCTCCTCCCTCCCTCCCTGCTCCCTCCTCCCTTCTTCTTCTTCTTCCTCTCCCTCCTCCATTCTTCCTTCCTCCTCCCTCCCTCCCTGCTTTGCTTCTCCTCCCTCCCTCCCTTCTTCTTCCTCCTCCTTCCTCCCTCCTCCCCTCCTGCTTCTTTTCCATCCTCCCTTCTTCTTCCCCTTCCTCCTCCTCCCATCCTCCACTGCTTCTTCTTTCTTCCTTCCTCCCTCCCTGCTTCTTCCTCCTCCTCCCTCCTCCCTGCTTCTTCCTCCTCCCTCCTCCCTGCTTTCTTTCCTCTGTCCTCCTCCTTTTCCCTCCTCCCTCCTCCCTGCTTCTTTCTTCTTTTTCCTCCTCTCCCTCCTCCCTTCTTCTTTGTCTTCCTCCTCCCCTCCTCCCTCCCTCCCTTCTTTCTTTTCTTTCTTTCTCTTCTTCCTCCTCCCTTCTTCTATCTTCTTCTCCTCCTCCCTCCTCCCTACCTCCCTCCTCCCTCTTCTTCCCTCCTCCCTCCCTCCTCCCTTCTTCTTTCCTCCTCCCTCCCCCTCCTCCCTGCTTCTTCTTCTTTCCTCCTCCTCTCTCCCTCCCTGCTTCTTCTATCCTCTTCCTCCTCCTTCCCTGTCTTCTTCCTCTTTCCTCCCTCCTCCTCCCTCCCTGCTCCCTCCTCCTCCCTCCTCCCTCATTCAATCCCCTCAGGCTTCATATTCTGATTAAAGCATTTTGGTCAACAGAAAACACACTAACAGGCCAAGGTCACACAACTCAAATGGAATGACTTAACACTGGGATTTATAATGAACCTCCATGTCTCCAAACACATTGAAGGCTGTCCAACTAGAAACCTGAACCTAAGACAGTCATGTCAGCACATGTAGGATACTGCAGGCAGAATAGCAACCTGGAGGAGACAGACAGACGGGAGAAAGACAGAATAGCAACCTGCCATTTCTATTTCTGGGCCTTTTATTAAATACAAAAATAGTTTACAAGTAAGCTCTGTGTGTGCACTATGATGTAACCTGTGCATATACCATTACAATTTGATTTGTAAAGTATAGAACAAAACATGCTACTTGTATGCTTCAACTATAGTCACAATGTCTCCTATTGCATAGCCTAGGTCTATATCAGTTTTATTTTGAGTTCACTGGCACTGCAGTTGTGACTGTGGCTCGCTCCCCTTGTCCCCTGATAGAGACAGAGCCGTGCACCAAACAGGATGGAAAACGTCAGCTATTCTGCATTGCATTAATCCGATGTGAGCGCTATCAGCAAATGCCGAAACACGTGACGCAACTCTCCTGATAAACGTAGAAGCACATTTATAAAATGGCTGACCTCCTGCAGAACAGAGCTACAGCTGGATTTTCTCCTCATTCCATGACTGTATACAATGAATGAATGTGTCACAAATGGCGCCCTATACAATGCACTACTCTTGACCAGGGAAATAGGGTGACATTTGGAATGCACACAATGTAATAGCAGAACTGGAGTAGTCGTTGTGTTTCTGTAAGTAAAGGGAATGTCTAGTTACCTGCCATGTTTTCAGACTGACTAGTAATGGAGGTGAAGAAGGAACAAAGAAAGAACCAGCAGGGTAAACCCAGTAGTCTAAATCATTACAGCCCAGTCGTCTAAATCATTACAGCCCAGTCGTCTAAATCATTACAGCCCCTTCGTCTAAATATTACAAACGCCCAGTAGTCCCTAAATCAATTACAGCTCGAGCTAGCCCATTAGTCTAAATCATTACAGGCCCAGTAGTCCAAATCATTACATCCCAGTAGTCTAAAATCATTACAGCCCAGTCTCTCAAATCATTACAGCCCCTTCGGTCTAAAGCATTACAAGCCCAGAGTCTAAATCATTACAAAGCCCAGTAGTCTAATCATTAACACAAGCCCAGTAGTCTACATCATTACAGCCGGCCCAATAGCTAAATCATTACAAACAAGCAGCCCAGTAGTCTAAATCATTAGCAAAGCCCAGTATCTAAATCATTAAAGCCCAGTAGTCTAAATCATTACAGCCCCAGTCGTCTAAATTCCATTACAGCCCAGTCGTCTACCAATCATTACAAGCCCCAAGTCGTCTAAATCATTACAGCCCAGTAGTCTAAATCATTTACCGCCCAGTAGTCTATAAATCATTACAGCCCAGTAGTCTAAATCATTACAGCCCAGTAGTCTTTCTAAATCATTACAGCCCCAGTCGTGTCTAAATCATTTACAGGCCCAGTCGTACTAAATCACTTACAGCCCAGTAGTCTTAAATCATTACAGCCCAGTAGTTCTAAAATCATTACAGCCCCAGTAGTCTAATCATTACAGCCCAGTTAGTCTAATCATTACAGCCCAAGTAGTCTACACTCATTACAGCCCGTAGGTCTAATCATTACAGCCCAGTAGTCATAAATTCATTACAGGCCCAGGTAGTCTAAATTCATTACAGCCCAGTAGTCCTTAAATTCATTACAGGCCCTAGTAGTCTAAATTCCTTACAGCCCAGTAGTCTAATCATTAAAGCCCCCACGTAGTCTAACTCAGACAGATCCAGTAGTCTTAATCATACAGCCCAGTAGTCTAAATCATTACAGCCCAGTTAGTCTAAATCATTACAGCCCCAGTAGTCTAAATTAATTACAGACCCAGTAGTCTAAATCATTACAGCCCAGTAGTCTAATCATTACAGCCCAGTCGTCTAAATCATTACAGCCCAGTAGGTCTAAATCATTACAGCCCAGTAGTCTAAATCATTACAGCCCAGTAGTCAAATCATAAGCCCAGTAGTCTAAATCATTACCGCCCAGTAGTCTAAATCATTACAGCCCAGTAGTCTAAATCATTACAGCCCCAGTAGTCTAAATCATTACAGCCCATAGTCTAAATCATTACAGCCCAGTAGTCTAAATCATTACAGCCCAGTAGTCTAAATCATTACAGCCAGTAGTCTAAATCATTACAGCCCAGTAGTCTAAATCATTTACAGCCCAGTAGTCTAAACCATTACAGCCCCAGTAGTCTAAATCATTACCAGCCCAGTAGTCTAATCATTACAGCCCAGTAGTCTAAATCATTACAGCCCATTAGTCTAAATCATTTAACAGCCCAGTAGTCTAAATCAATTACAGCCCAGTAGTCTAAAATCATTTACAGCCCATTAGTCTAAATCATTACAGCCCAGTAGTCTAAATCATTACAGCCCAGTAGTCTAAATCATTACAGCCCCAGTAGTCTAAATCATTACAGCCCCAGTAGTCTAAATCATTACAGCCCAGTAGTCTAAATCATTACAGTCCAGTAGTCTAAATCATTACAGCCCAGTAGTCTAAATCATTACAGCCCAGTAGTCTAAACATTACAGCCCAGTAGTCTAAATCATTACAGTCCAGTAGTCTAAATCATTACAGCCCAGTATAGTCTAATCATTACAGCCAGTAGTCTAAATCATTACAGCCAGTAGTCTAAATCATTACAGCCCAGTAGTCTAAATCATTACAGCCCAGTAGTCTAAATCATTACAGCCCAGTAGTCTAAATCATTACAGCCCAGTAGTCTAAATCATTACAGCCCAGTAGTCTAATCAACACCGTAGTCTAATCATTACAGCCCAGTAGTCTAATCATTACAGCCCAGTAGTCTAAATCATTACAACCCAGTAGTCTAAATCATTACAGCCCAGTAGTCTAAATCATTACAGCCCAGTAGTCTAAATCATTACAGCCCAGTAGTCTAAATCATTACAGCCCAGTAGTCTAAATCATTACAGCCCAGTAGTCTAAACCATTACAGCCCAGTAGTCTAAACGATTACAGCCCAGTAGTCTAAACTCATTACAGCCCAGTAGTCTAAATCATTACAGCCCAGTAGTCTAAATCATTACAGCCCCAAGTAGTCTAAATCATTACAGCCCAGTAGTCTAAATCATTACACCCCAGTAGTCTAAATCATTACAGCCCAGTAGTCTAAATCATTACAGCCAGCCAGTAGTCTAAATCATTACAGCCCAGTAGTCTAAATCATTACAGCCCAGTAGTCTAAATCATTACAGCCCAGTAGTCCAGTAGTCTAAATCATTACAGCCCAGTAGTCTAAATCATTACAGCCCAGTAGTCCAGTAGTCTAAATCATTACAGTCCAGTAGTCTAAATCATTACAGCCCAGTAGTCTAAATCATTACAGCCCAGTAGTCTAAACCATTACAGCCCAGTAGTCTAAATCATTACAGCCCAGTAGTCTAAATCATTACAGCCCAGTAGTCTAAATCATTACAGCCCAGTAGTCTAAATCATTACAGCCCAGTAGTCTAAATCATTACAGCCCAGTAGTCTAAATCATTACAGCCCAGTAGTCTAAATCATTACAGCCCAGTAGCCCTAAATCATTACAGCCCAGTAGTCTAAATCATTACAGCCCATTTCAGTCTAAATCATTACAGCCCAGTAGTCCAGTAGTCTAAATCATTACAGCCCAGTAGTCTAAATCATTACAGCCCAGTAGTCTAAACATTACAGCCAGTAGTCTAAATCATTACAGCCCAGTAGTCTAAATCATTACAGCCCAGTAGTCTAAATCATTACAGCCCAGTAGTCTAAATCATTACAGCCCAGTAGTCTAAATCATTACAGCCCAGTAGTCTAAATCATTACAGCCCAGTAGTCTAAATCATTACAGCCCAGTAGTCTAAATCATTACAGCCCAGTAGTCTAAATCATTACAGCCCAGTAGTCTAAATCATTACAGCCCAGTAGTCTAAATCATTACAGCCCAGTAGTCTAAATCATTACAGCCCAGTAGTCTAAATCATTACAGCCCTAGTAGTCTAAATCATACAGCCCCAGTAGTCTCAAATCATTACAGCCCAGTAGTCTAAATCATTACAGCCCGTATCAAATTCATTACAGCCCAGTAGTCTAAATCATTACAGCCCAGTAGTCTAAATCATTACAGCCCAGTAGTCTAAATCATTACCGATGCTGGGGGAACAAAAAACAAAACATTTAATCTGTACTTTGTGTCTCTAAAAATCAGAATGTTTCCATGTTTATTGTCATGTGATAGTGTTTTAATTGAAATTACCAAATGTCTCCCTTTTACCAGATCCAAATATCTCCGCATGAACTGTTTATTTATTGTATTCCAAAATATAATCTTCTCTCCATATGAACTGATGTATATTAGACCATAGACTAAAGGACAGCTACATGACTTCATGAAAAGGCAGCAAACAGACACATTGTTCCACTTTCTTTAATAAAAAGACTCCAACAGATCCAGTTTCCCTCCAAATAGGCTTACAAGGAAACTTGATGATGTATGCTTATCATGATAACTATCACCAATCAACATAAAAGGATCAGAGGTAGTTATGATACAACCCACCAAGGTTTGGCTCAACCACTATTCCATTAATCATCATCCCTAATCATCCCAAATATTGAGCAGCCTTTTTGTTCAATAAAAAGCTAAAAAACTAAAATACAATCATTCATAACCATTCAAATGGATAGGCAGAGAGCAGCACTATAGATTCTCTGGGAAAATAATAATAACCGATTATTCTCAATAGCATCCCACTCACTCCCACTGCTGCAGCGCTGTGAGAGGTTCTGATGCAGGAAAGAGCAGAGAAAGCATTCCCTCCCAGATAACAACTACTAGCTAGTAGGCTACACATTACGTACCAGGAGATGACACACTGTTGCAAAGCCTTCCTTCTCATGGTCCTGGTCCTGTGTGTGATACCCATCACCTTCCTTCCCATGGTCCTGGTCCTGTGTGTGATACCCATCACCTTCCTTCTCATGGTCCTGGTCCTGTGTGTGATACCCATCACCTTCCTTCCCATGGTCCTGGTCCTGTGTGTGATACCCATCACCTTCCTTCTCATGGTCCTGGTCCTGTGTGTGATACCCATCACCTTCCTTCTCATGGTCCTGGTCCTGTGTGTGATACCCATCACCTTCCTTCCCATGCCTGGTCCTGTGTGTGATACCCATCACCTTCCTTCCCATGGTCCTGGTCCTGTGTGTGATACCCATCACCTTCCTTCCCATGGTCCTGGTCCTGTGTGTGATACCCATCACCTTCCTTCTCATGGTCCTGGTCCTGTGTGTGATACCCATCACCTTCCTTCCCATGGTCCTGGTCCTGTGTGTGATACCCATCACCTTCCTTCCCATGGTCCTGGTCCTGTGTGTGATACCCATCACCTTCCTTCCCATGGTCCTGGTCCTGTGTGTGATACCCATCACCTTCCTTCCCATGCCTGGTCCTGTGTGTGATACCCATCACCTTCCTTCCCATGCCTGGTCCTGTGTGTGATACCCATCACCTTCCTTCCCATGGTCCTGGTCCTGTGTGTGATACCCATCACCTTCCTTCCCATGCCTGGTCCTGTGTGTGATACCCATCACATTCCTTCTCATGCCTGGTCCTGTGTGTGATACCCATCACCTTCCTTCCCATGCCTGGTCCTGTGTGTGATACCCATCACCTTCCTTCTCATGGTCCTGGTCCTGTGTGTGATACCCATCACCTTCCTTCCCATGGTCCTGGTCCTGTGTGTGATACCCATCACCTTCCTTCCCATGGTCCTGGTCCTGTGTGTGATACCCATCACCTTCCTTCTCATGGTCCTGGTCCTGTGTGTGATACCCATCACCTTCCTTCTCATGGTCCTGGTCCTGTGTGTGATACCCATCACCTTCCTTCCCATGCCTGGTCCTGTGTGTGATACCCATCACCTTCCTTCCCATGCCTGGTCCTGTGTGTGATACCCATCACCTTCCTTCCCATGGTCCTGGTCCTGTGTGTGATACCCATCACCTTCCTTCCCATGCCTGGTCCTGTGTGTGATACCCATCACCTTCCTTCTCATGGTCCTGGTCCTGTGTGTGATACCCATCACCTTCCTTCCCATGGTCCTGGTCCTGTGTGTGATACCCATCACCTTCCTTCCCATGGTCCTGGTCCTGTGTGTGATACCCATCACCTTCCTTCCCATGCCTGGTCCTGTGTGTGATACCCATCACCTTCCTTCCCATGCCTGGTCCTGTGTGTGATACCCATCACCTTCCTTCCCATGGTCCTGGTCCTGTGTGTGATACCCATCACCTTCCTTCCCATGCCTGGTCCTGTGTGTGATACCCATCACCTTCCTTCCCATGGTCCTGGTCCTGTGTGTGATACCCATCACCTTCCTTCCCATGCCTGGTCCTGTGTGTGATACCCATCACCTTCCTTCCCATGCCTGGTCCCAAGTCTGATATAGCACACTGATGTAACACACAGACACACACCTTTGTCTGTAAGGAACAATAGCAGTACACACACACACACACACACACACCCCAGAACTAGGACCCCAGTGAAGTGTGCCGAGCACCAGAGGGTCATCTGGACCGCTTCTGTCCACTGCAGCATGAGACCAGACAGTAGATATTTCATACATGGTTCCCCTTCCGTACACGGTCCCCCTTCCGTACACGGTCCCCCTTCCGTACACGGTCCCCCTTCCGTACACGGTCCCCCTTCCGTACACGGTCCCCCTTCCGTACACGGTCCCCCTTCCGTACACGGTCCCCCTTCCGTACACGGTCCCCCTTCCGTACACGGTTCCCCTTCCGTACACGGTCCCCCTTCCGTACACGGTCCCCTTCCGTACACGGTCCCCCTTCCGTACACGGTCCCCCTTCCGTACACGGTCCCCCTTCCGTACACGGTCCCCCTTCCATACACGGTCCCCCTTCCATACACGGTCCCCCTTCCATACACGGTCCCCCCTTCCATACACGGTCCCCCCTTCCATACACGGTCCCCCTTCCATACACGGTTCCCCCTTCCATACACGGTTCCCCTTCCATACACGGTTCCCCCTTCCATACACGGTCCCCCTTCCATACACGGTCCCCCTTCCATACACGGTTCCCCTTCCATACACGGTTTCCCCTTCCATACACGGTTCCCCTTCCATACACGGTTCCCCTTCCATACACGGTCCCCCTTCCATACACGGTCCCCCTTCCATACACGGTCCCCCTTCCATACACGGTTCCCCTTCCATACACGGTTCCCCTTCCATACACGGTCCCCCTTCCATACACGGTCCCCCTTCCATACACGTTTCCCCTTCCATACACGGTTCCCCTTCCATACACGGTTCCCCTTCCATACACGGTTCCCCTTCCATACACGGTTCCCCTTCCATACACGGTCCCCCTTCCATACACGGTCCCCCTTCCATACACGGTTCCCCTTCCATACACGGTTCCCCTTCCATACACGGTTCCCCTTCCATACACGGTTCCCCTTCCATACACGGTTCCCCTTCCATACACGTTCCCCTTCCATACACGGTTCCCCTTCCATACACGGTTCCCCTTCCATACATGGTTCCCCCCCCCCCCCCCCCAGCAAAATTAGCCTACATGTAGGCTGTTTCTATGTGTATTTCACACTATGTTGAGGTAAAAATCAGGGTATAATGCTTGTATGGATGTCAACCCCAATACATGTTCATGTCATCGTCACCAATCAACTGCATTACAGTTCAAAACTACTTAGACTACCAACAACTTCTGTAAGCTAACTATGCTACCAGTTTATACGAATGGGAGTTAGTATTTAGCATTCACTTCTTCTAAACCTGAAAAGGGAACTACTTCTAAATGTCATGCAGAGAAAACAGCCAGATATATCCAAATCAGATTTTAGTAACCACGTTGTGGGCCTGTTACAATATATCAATCATGACGGATTTGAAAAATATCCACTTTGTTAGATCAGATTTGTGATCCGGCGTCATCCTTCTATCCCCCACTGTCTGGATCCCATTGATCTCTTTTACCGCATCTATCCCCAATACCTCCCGGATCTCTTGCCAAGAGTTCAAACTCATTTCCATGTTCTTTGAAATCCCTACACAAGGAACTTGTTCTGATAGCCTTTCGTTAAAAGTTCTCCATGTTTGTTGTCAAACACAAAAAAAAATCGCCGGATCAAGCATAAATTGGCTTTAAAAAGCGCTGCGTGGTCAAGCCGTTATCTGCAGTGGGCCTTACAGCATTTACTGTGATACGGCCTCTGCAGAAGTCAGGGCATTCATACTTCATGTGCTTCGTGGAGCAGAGCAGAGCTGTTGTGAAGGAAGTTGGCAAGGAAGTGAGTTTGTGTTTATACAGGACCTCCCGCCCCCACCTACCATCAACCAATCATGTCAATGCGGAGCTATACTGAGCAGTAGCAATGCGTGGGTAAAATCACCAGGGAAGCCAATCGAGAGAAAAAAAGCCATATTACGACCTGTGTTGTGATAATTGCGTTGTTTGCTCTATAACCTGTTAGTTCATATGCCTTGACACCGTGATATATAGGCCTAAAGGCCGAGACAATAAGAAGACACAGTGGCAGAATAAATTCAAACACACCTTTGTTTCGTCACTAAACCTGAGAGAAATATCTGTCCGGTGAAGTCCACAAAACATGTTGCATGTAACAAACAGTTATCTGACCTACAGCACGGTCAAGCAAGTTAATGTTTCCCACATTTTCGGACTACTAATGATTTAGGACCACGGAGTTATCGCAAGTCGCTGCCTATTCTAGCATAATTTCAAATTCATCGTCAAAATCAAATCAAATGTTTTGTCACATGCGCCGAATACAACAGGTGTAGACCTTACAGTGAAATGCTTACTTACAAACCCTTAACCAACAATGCAGTTTTAAGAAAAAATTAATGTTAAGTAAAAAATGTATAAGAAAAAAATATAAAATAATTAAAGAGCAGCAGTAAAATAACAATAGCAAGGCTATATACAGGGGGTACCGGTACAGAGTCAATGTGCGGGGGGCACCGGTTAGTCGAGGTAATTGGGGTAATATGTACATGTGGGTAGAGGTAACGTGACTATGCATAGATAATAAACAGAGAGTAGCAGCAGCGTAAAAGAGGGGGGCAGTGCAAATAGTCCAGGTAGCCATTTGATTAGCTGCTCAGGAGTATTGTGGCTTGGGGGTAGAAGCTGTTAAGAAGCCTTTTGGACCTAGACTTGGCGCTCCGGTACCGCTTGCCGTGCGGTAGCAGAGAGAACAGTCTATGACTAGGGTGGCTGGAGTCTTTGACTATTTTTAGGGCCTTCCTCTGACACCACCTGGTATAGAGGTCCTGGATGGCAGGAAGCTTGGCCCCAATGATGTACTGGATCGTACTCACTACCCTCTGTAGTGCCTTGCGGTCGGAAGCCGAGCAGTTGCCATACCAGGCGGTGATGCAACCAGTCAGGATGCTCTCGATGATGCAGCTGTAGAACTTTTTGAGGATCTGAGGACCCATGCCAAATCTTTTCAGTCTCCTGAGGGGGAATAGGCGTTGTCGTGCCCTCTTCACAACTGTCTTGGTGTGTTTGGACCATGATAGTTTGTTGGTGATGTGGACACCAAGGAACTTGAAGCTCTCGACCCGCTCCACTACAGCCCCATCTAAATCACCTCTGCTTAGTCTAATACAGTGACAACTAAAAGATACCAAAAACGATTTAGTCCAATCAACATAAGCTAAATATGACGTGAATGGATGTGTGTGGTGTGTGTGTGTGTGTGTGTGTGTGTGTGTGTGTGTGTGTGGTGTGTGTGTGTTTACGTGCGTGCAAGTAGAAAAAAACCGCCAATGCCATCCTCTTTCATGTTGCCTAAACGTGGTATTCACCTCCTAGGCTACCTGGCTAAAATACTTGCTCGCTAGCCTAACTTTCTTTCATGGGCAATGATGAGCCAGCTAGTTAACATTAGCCTTCTACATCTAGCTACATATTGAACTTCCATCCTCTCAGGCCAGGGACACAACGTATGAATTTATGGTTGGATCAGAATCGCCGTTATAATCATTGGCCAGTACGGAGAATTAAGTAAGTCCAAATCCCTATCTCCATCCATGGCTAACATAGGAAAGGGCCCATTTTAGCTAGCTAGCCACCGGAGGACAACAACACAACAAGATGCAACAACTCACATTTTATTCTGTCAATAACGACATTTGGCTTGTGATAGGTCTGAAGCCGAATCCAAACTGGCTTCCCTTGACACTTTTTTTTTGGTGTGCCAGGACTATTCACAGCTGAGCTCACTCAACGCTGATTGGCTATTATTATTATTTATTTTTTTATCAAGGTAGGCCATATGCTCGCTAGCTTCCCTTGCATTCAATGCTAAGGGCAGCAACAATGTCATACTCTTTATGACCAGACGGCATCAGATAGATATGTTACACATACTGAGACAGAGGGGGCGCTGTTTAGTTCGCTCAGATGCTTTAACCCGTGAGATACATTCAGCCTCTTGGGAATTGAAGGAAATGTATGAAAACACAGAGAGACAAAAGATGACATTATTTTGTATGTTTTTTTTCTTGGTCAATTTTTTGGGGAAGCCTGGCTCGCATTGGCATCCATGAATACATGTCACTGATACTGAGCCCTCCACATTCTTACAAAATTTGGGAGGCGCACAGCGATGCGGTATGGAGCTCGATTTGGCCTCTAAGACTTCGGGGGCTCCGCAATTGCGTCACACCCTGTGTACGGAGCCTCCAGATAGCTTGCCAGAGCAAGCATAAATTGGCTTTAACGCACATTACCACAATTAACACAGTAGGCGATCCACAAGAGATTTTAAACGACACACTGGCGTGAGATACAAGGACGATTGATTTAGTACATTGTAACAAGCTTGATATAAATAAATTTAAAAAACAGCATACAGTCCATGTCGAATAGCCACAGTGCGAATTATTTCTGATGCCCAAATGACAAGAAAACCAGATATGTTAATGATCATAGCCTAATCATACAAAAGGTAGGAGAATATAGGAGAAAAGCAGAATGTTACAAAGCCATAAAATAGGCTAGAGTCCGTAGCTAAACATATAGGCTGCCTATGGGTTACAGAGGAGTACGCAGTAATCTCCTGAGCTTTGATTAACCCCCTCCGTGATTCCAAGTTAACAAGAAAGACAACAGGAAAAAAAGACAATGTGTATCCGATTCGGACTGCATTCCTACCTCAATATAGCCGGCCAACCCTGGAACTACGATGCCCAAAATTAGGACCGATATCGCGGGGACTCGACACATCTTCCAAGCTGATCTGCGCCGATATTACAGTCAAATTGTCCTCTAGGTCGACAGAATCAACTCCACGATCAACAAGGAGACGAAAAATGGAATGATAGGTAAATCTCTTCTGAGGAGCGGAGCTAGTCCTGCGTCGCTTGCTTGCCCCGAGATCGACAGCGAAATGAAATGTAGCAGACTAATGACCAGTGGGATAGGGAGGGAGTGCGGGTTCGTCCTCTTCTCTCTCTCCACATTTCCACCCGGTCCAACATTACAGAACAGTGCGCCGCCAGGCGTCTGGTGAGAGTCCTACCGGATGTGAAGTCATTAGATTAGGCTTTCTGTACATATGATACGGCTTTGATATGGGCCTAAATGATGTTGTATTGTCACCTACAGTGGCGATTTTAGCATGTACATTTTGGTGGGGCAAACAAAAAAATTCCCGTTTTAGATGCATCCCAGCAAAGCCTCAACACAACACAACACTAAACAATACATTCATTGCACTATAACGGTGACAAACGGTGCCCACAAACTGATAGGGCCTATATAAAGCTGTCCCAACAGCAGAGCTTTCTTTTCAGCACCATGGAGTGAATCCTTACCACCGCTCCACCTGGCTATCAGCCGAGCCTTGTCTGGCAGCGAAACAGTTCATTCAGCCTCCTTTACTGCCTTTTAAAAAACATAGCTGATATGGCTGATTTGCTTAAACAAATGTGGTTTCTACTGACAATTGAGATGTACAAACTACGGCATAAGGGAACAATGAGCGGATAAGAGGCAATCCATAATTTTGATTAAGACAATGAGCAAGCTAAAACGGACATAGTCAATATAACAATTTGTTCAGCACTTTTGAAATGTACAACGACAGAATTCAGAACATGGTCCGTTCTTACATTGTTCTCCCTGAACACCAAGTCAGAACCGTAGGATAAATAAAGGGGGCATATAAGCAGACAATGAAAGCTCTTACAATATTCGATTATTACATTTCTCTAAAACAGGCTAAAGGCTACATGTCAGAACAGTAGGCTAAGTTATGAGGGGGAAAGGGACCACATTATTTGGGTGAGGCACATGGCCTACTAATATCTTACTACACAGCATACACTTAGTATTACTTTCTTAGCTACAGCATACACATCTCCCTGGCATATTACATCATTTATGCAGCAGCATACTATACATTTTTGGACTCACCTTGTTGTGCTCCGCTCACTTGTGGGCAAAAAATCTTTGGAGGGAGCTGAAAGTCTGTATTGCCCAGCGACAGCCCCGAAACCTGAAGGATCTGGAGAAGGTCTGTATGGAGGAGTGGGCCAAAATCCCTGCTGCAGTGTGTGCAAACCTGGTCAAGACCTACAGGAAACGTATGATCTCTGTCATTTCAAACAAAGGTTTCTGTACCAAATATTAAGTTCTGCTTTTCTGATGTATCAAATACTTATGTCATGCAATACAATGCAAATTAATTACTTAAAAATCATACAATGTGATTTTCTGGATTTTTGTTTTAGATTCCGTCTCTCACAGTTGAAGTGTACCTATGATACAAATTACAGACCTCTACATGCTTTGTAAGTAGGAAAACCTGCAAAATCGGCAGTGTATCAAATACTTGTTCTCCCCACTGTATATATATATATATATATGTATACATGTATAGGCCTACAAGAAAGCAATATTCAGCAGAAGAATTGGCTCCTCATTTTAACGAAGAACTGCCCTAATTCATAATTTCATAATGGAAATAATTTGGGCAATGAAGAAATGATAGGACAAATGTCAACCTTAAACATGATTAAATCTCTGATGATACAGTGCTGTGACAGAATCTACACTCCCCCTCTGATTTTATCTCTGTACTCAAGACTATAGTTCTCTTGTTCTCGAGAAAAACAGAGGCCCTGGTCTAAAGTGATGCACTGTAAAGGGAATAAGGAATGGGGTGCCATTTGGGACGGAAATTATAGTTCTCTGTTTGCGAGAAAGACAGTTCCTCAGTGTAGATATATGAGCAACTTTTGTAGTGATTTCCCCATGGGGGTGAATTCCCCTGCATTTCAGATGAACTCTAAAAATGGGTATTCCTTCTCACTGTACATTCCCCTTTGAAAAATATCTCTGGGACAACCATTCACCAACAATATCACCGTAAGCAATATTTCACTGCATGTATAAATAATAAAGTTCAAACAATAGAATGTGGACCCTTTAATCTTTAAATTAGAAACATGATTCTCCTGTCATTCTAATTTACCTGTCGCTGTGTTAGGTGGTGCTAGGTGGTGCTATGAAGTGTTAGGCTGTGCTAGGAGGTGCTAGGTGGTGCTAGGTGGTGCTAGGACGTTAGGTGGTGCTAGGTGGTGTTAGGTGGTGCTTGGAGGTCCTAGGTGGTGCTAGGTGGTATTAGGTGGTGTAAGGTAGTGCTAGGTGGTGCTAGTGATTGCTAGGTGGTGCTAGGAGGTGCTAGGTGGTGCTAGGTGGTGTAAGGTAGTGCTAGGTGGTGCTAGTGATTGCTAGGTGGTGCTAGGAGGTGCTAGGTGGTGCTAGGTGGTGTTAGGTGGTGCTAGGTGGTGCTAGGTGGTATTAGGTGTTGTAAGGTAAAGGTAGTGCTAGGTGGTGTTAGGTGGTGCTAGTGATTGCTAGGTGGTGCTAGGTGGTGCTAGGTGGTGCTAGGTGGTTTAAGGTAGTGCTAGGTGGTGTTAGGTGGTGCTAGTGATTGCTAGGTGGTGCTAGGAGGTGCTAGGTGGTGTTAGGTGGTGCTAGGTGGTGCTAGGTGGTGCTAGGTGGTATTAGGTGTTGTAAGGTAAAGGTAGTGCTAGGTGGTGTTAGGTGGTGCTAGTGATTGCTAGGTGGTGCTAGGAGGTGCTAGGTGGTGCTAGGTGGTGCTAAGAGGTGCTTGTTGATGCTAGTTGGTGCTAGGTGTTACTAAAATCCAAAGTCAGCAGGAATTATTATTTAATCAGACATTCACTAAAGTCTCCATCCCAAATGGTCTCCTAATCCCTATAAAGTGCTTTCTACCAGGGCTAGGCACATTATTCATATTAATTATTCCATGACCGATGACCCATGAGGACATTATCAGTGCAAAGAATAATACTGACCTCCTCCAAATCAAAACCAGGAAATTATAATCATTATGTTATTATTCTGATCATATCAGGGGGCTTAAAAAGCAATCACAAAGAAGCACAAGCAATCTTTCAGATTGGAGATGAAACACATGACAGAGAAATCCCCATCTCTGTTCCGTCATCACCTAAAGGGGACTTTCGTTTTTAAAAGCTTACGCTCAACTGATAGTGAGTCCCAAACAGCACCCTATTCCCTATGTAGTGCACTACTTTAGACCAGAGAATGGCACCCTATTCCCTAGTTAGTGCACTACTTTAGACCAGAGAATGGCACCCTATTCCCTATATAGTGCACTACTTTAGACCAAAGAATGGCACCCTATTCCCTATATAGTGCACTACTTTAGACCAGAGAATGGCACCCTATTCCCTATATAGTGCACTACTTTAGACCAGAGAATGGCACCCTATTCCCTATATAGTGCACTACTTTAGACCAGAGAATGGTACCCTATTCCCTATATAGTGCACTACTTTAGACCAGAGAATGAAAAAAAAAAAAAAAAAAAAAAGGAACACCGAAAATGAACCCTTCTCTTGCCAGCCTCAAATTCTTGTGTATTTATAGGTGAGACACCAGGAAGTGATTCATGGCATTCAAAAGTGTTTGTATTGTATTCATTCAGCCCTAGTCCATATGATTTCAACCTCTCCATGGACAATATTTATTGTTTATAGACTGACAACAATCAAGAGTAAGGGGGTCTCTTTCACGCCAATGGGACAACTGGAAACAGAGAGTAGATGCCAACAGGGACAACTGTAAACAGAGAGTAGATGCCAACAGTAGCACATTTTGGGAACTTGCTTGATCTCCTTCTCAATACCAATGCAACAAATACATTTCCAAGAGCATCAACTGTATGAAATGAAATCTGTGTATCACCATACCTGCTGGGGTGTGTTCTCAGTATAAAGGTACCGTGTTATGGGTGTGTCTGGAAGTGGTGACTACTAACATTGATGACAGAAGTTGAGTTCAGGACACACCTGTGGCTAACACCCACACACCCACACACACACCCACACACACACACACACACACACACACACACACACACACACACACACACACACACACACACACAGACCACCACCTAACACCGCTGCCACGTGCCACCATTTAACCCATTCATCTATCATCTGGTGAATGGATTTAATCCCCTGGAGTGGATGAAGCTCTATTATTATAACATCAATCAGTTTCACAGATAAAACATTTCAATCCAGGTCACCGACTTGCAATGGAAATTAAAATGTCACCACAGTCATCTTTGATACAGGGGTTATGGAAGTCTTTGATACAGGGGTTATGGAAGTCTTTGATACAGGGGTTATGGAAGTCTTTGATACAGGGTTTATGGAAGTCTTTGATACAGGGGTTATGGAAGTCTGTGATACATGGGTTATGGAAGTCTTTGATACAGGGGTTATGGAAGTCTTTGATACAGGGGTTATGGAAGTCTTTGATACAGGGGTTATGGAAGTCTTTGATACAGGGGTTATGGAAGTTTAAAGGATGAGTAAGAGGAAAGTTTCCAATATGAATCCAGTATTGCAACATGGAGGGAGAGGCCACTACCAGTAACACCACCACCCTGCAATATAATCATTCTGAATCATAGCTCATAGAAGAAGTTCATGATGATTACTGGATCAGACACAGAATGTAGACTAGAGCCACAAATTGAATAGAAATCATCTTTGCTGGAGCAAACCAAGTAACAGTTCCTAGCCTAGTGGTTAAGAGTGTTGGGCCAGTAACCGAATAGTCGATGGTTCGAAACCCTGAGCCAACTAGGTGAAAATTCTGTCTGTGCCCTTAAGCAAGGCACTTAACCATAATTGCACCCTGTATTTACAGTGGAGGAAAAAAGTATTTAGTCAGCCACCAATTGTGCAAGTTCTCCCACTTAAAAAGATGAGAGAGGCCTGTAATTTTCATCATAGGTACACGTCAACTATGACAGACAAATTGAGAAAAGAAAATCCAGAAAATCACATTGTAGGATTTTTAATGAATTTATTTGCAAATTATGGTGGAAAATAAGTATTTGGTCACCTACAAACAAGCAAGATTTCTGGCTCTCACAGACCTGTAACTTCTTCTTTAAGAGGCTCCTCTGTCCTCCACTCGTTACCTCTATTAATGGCACCTGTTTGAACTTGTTATCAGTATAAAAGACACCTGTCCACAACCTCAAACAGTCACACTCCAAACTCCACTATGGCCAAGACCAAAGAGCTGTCAAAGGACACCAGAAACAAAATTGTAGACCTGCACCAGGCTGGGGAGACTGAATCTGCAATAGGTAAGCAGCTTGGTTTGAAGAAATCAACTGTGGGAGCAATTATTAGGAAATGGAAGACATACAAGACCACTGATAATCTCCCTCGATCTGGGGCTCCACGCAAGATCTCACCCCGTGGGGTCAAAATGATCACAAGAACGGTGAGCAAATATCCCAGAACCACACGGGGGGACCTAGTGAATGACCTGCAGAGAGCTGGGACCAAAGTAACAAAGCCTACCATCAGTAACACACTACGCCGCCAGGGACTCAAATCCTGCAGTGCCAGACGTGTCCCCCTGCTTAAGCCAGTACATGTCCAGGCCCGTCTGAAGTTTGCTAGAGTGCATTTGGATGATCCAGAAGAGGATTGGGAGAATGTCATATGGTCAGATGAAACCAAAATAGGGGGTTATGGAAGTCTTTGATACAGGGGTTATGGAAGTTTAAAGGATGAGTAAGAGGAAAGTTTCCAATATGAATCCAGTATTGCAACATGGAGGGAGAGGCCACTACCAGTAACACCACCACCCTGCAATATAATCATTCTGAATCATAGCTCATAGAAGAAGTTCATGATGATTACTGGATCAGACACAGAATGTAGACTGGTGTCATTGCCAACAAAGGGTATATAACAAAGTATTGAGAAACTTTTGTTATTGACCAAATACTTATTTTCCACCATAATTTGCAAATAAATTCATTAAAAATCATACAATGTGATTTTCTGGATTTTTTTATTTTTATTACAGGCCTCTCTCATCTTTTTAAGTGGGAGAACTTGCACAATTGGTGGCTGACTAAATACTTTACCCCCCCACTATATTAAGGATCCCCTTTACTCTTCCTGGGTTCCAAATATATTAAAGCACTTACATTACATATAAAACAAAATATATAACAGTATGACATTATTACACCACTACCTATCTACAATACAAAATGTTTAATACCACCATACAACAATATCACAATGTGTGCATATGCATGTGTCTATACCCTTGTGTGTCTCTTCACAGTCCCCGTTGTTCCATAAGGTGTATTTTGACCTGTTTTTCAATCTGATTCTACTGCTTGCATCAGTTACCTGATGTGGAATAGAGTTCCATGTAGTCATGTCTCTATGTAGTACTGTGCGCCTCCCATAGTCTGTTCTGGACTTGGGGACTGTGAAGAGACCTCTGGTGGCATGTCTTGTGGGGTATGCATGGGTGTCCGAGCTGTGTGCCAGTAGTTCAAACAGACAGCTCGGGCCATGACAGACTGACATGCATGTCATTAATGTTCGATCTCTGTGTACTTTTAAGGGCCAGCCGTGCTGCCCTGTTCTGAGCCAACTGCCAATTTTCCCAAGTCCCTCTTTGGCTAATTGGTTGGCTATTTGAGCCAGTAAAGGGGGCTTTACTATTCTTAGGTAGCGGAATGATTTTTGCTTCCCTCCAGGCCTGAGGGCACACACTTTCTAGTAGGCTTAGATTGAAAATATGGCAAATAGGAGTGGCAATATCATCCACTATTATCCTCAGCAATTTTCCTTCTAAGTTGTCAGACCCCGGTGGCTTGTCATTGTTAATAGACTACAATAATTTTTTCACTCACTTTACGGAATTCAAAATTACAATGCTTGTCTTTCATAATTTGGTCAGATATACTTGGACGTGTAGTGTCAGCAATTGTTGCTGGCATGTCATGCCTAAGTTTGCTAATCTTGCCAATGAAAAAAGTATTAAAGTAGTTGGCAATATCAGTTGGTTTTGTGATGAATGAGCCATCTGATTCAATGAATGATGGAGCTGAGTTTGCCTTTTCATTCAAGGTGCTCCAAAGCTTTTTACTATCATTCTTTATGTCATTTATCTTTGTTTCATAGTGTAGTTTATTCTTCTTTTTATTCAGTTTAGTCACATAATTTCTCGATTTGCAATACGTTTACCAATCGGTTGTGCAGCCAGACTTATTTGCCATTCCTTTTGCCTCATCCCTCTCAACCATACAATTTTTCAATTCCTCATCAATCCACGGGGATTTAACAGTTGTTACAGTCATTGTCTTAATGGGTGCATGCTTATTAGTAACTGGAATAAGCAATTTCATAAATGTGTCAAGTGCAGTGTCTGTTTGCTCCTCATTACACACCACGGACCAACAAATATTCTTTACATCAACAACATAGGAATCACTACAAAACTTATTGTATGACCTCTTATACACAATATTAGACCCAGCCTTTGGAACTTTATATAACTAGATATGGCTACTATATTGTGATCACTACATCCGATGGATTTGGATACTGCTTTCAAACAACTCTCTGCAGCATTAGTAAAGATATGATCAATACATGTTGATGATTTAATTCCTGTACTGTTTGTAACTACCCTGGTAGGTTGACTGATAACCTGAACCAGGTTGCAGGCACTGGTTACAGTTTGAAGCTTTCTCTTGAGTGGGCAGCCTGATGAAAGCCAGTCAATAATTTATTCACCCAGAAAGTATACCTCTCTTTTGATATCACATACATTATCAAGCATTTCACACATGTTATCCAGATACTGACTGTTAGCATGCGAAAGTATTCATCCCCTTGGCATTTTTCCTATTTTGTTGCCTTACAACCTGGAATTAAAATTGATTTTTGGGGGGTTTGTATCATTTGATTTACACAACATGCCTACCACTTTGAAGATGCAAAATATTTTGTATTGTGAAACAAACAAGAAATAAGACAAAAAAACAGAAAACTTAAGCATGCCTCACCCCCACAAAGTCAATACTTTGTAGAGCCACCGTTTGCAGCAATTACAGCTGCAAGTCTCTTGGGGTATGTCTCTATAAGCTTGGCACATCTAGCCACTGGGATTTTTGACCATTCTTCAAGGCAAAACTGCTCCAACTCCTTCAAGTTGGATGGGTTCCGCTTTTGTACAGCAATCTTTAAGTCATACCACAGATTCTCAATTGGATTGAGGTCTGGGCTTTGACTAGGCCATTCCAAGACATTTAAATGTTTCCCCTTAAACCACTTGAGTGTTGCTTTAGCAGTATGCTTAGGGTCATTGTCCTGCTGGAAGGTGAACCTCCATCCCAGTCTCAAATCTCTGGAAGACTGAAACAGGTTTCCCTAAAGAATTTCCCTGTATTTAGCGCCATCCATCATTCCTTCAATTCTGACCTGTTTCCCAGTCCCTGCCGATGAAAAATATCCCCACAGCATGATGCTGCCACCACCATGCTTCACTGTGGGGATGGTGTTCTCGGGGTGATGAGAGGTGCTGGGTTTGCGCCAGACATGTTTTTTTATGGCCAAAAAGCTCAATTTTAGTCTCATCTGACCAGCGTACCTTCTTCCCTATGTTTGGGGAGTCTCCCACATGCCTTTTGGCGAACACCAAACGTGTTTGCTTCTTTTTTTCTTAAAGCAATGGCATTTTTCTGGCTACTCTTCTGTAATATCCAGCTCTGTGGAGTGTACGGCTTAAAGTAGTCCTATAGACAGATACTCCAATCTCCGCTGTGGAGCTTTGCAGCTCCTTCAGGGTTATCTTTGGTCTCTTTGTTGCCTCTCTGATTAATGCCCTCCTTGCCTGGTCCATGAGTTTTGGTGGGCGGCCCTCTCTTGGCAGGTTTGTTGTGGCGCCATATTCTTTCCATTTTTTAATAATGGATTTAATGGTGCTCCGTGGGATGTTCAAAGTTTCAGATATACATGGCCCCGTCCATCGTCCCTTTGATGCGGTGAAGTTGTCCTGTCCCCTTAGCAGAAAAACACCCCCAAAGCATAATGTTTACACCTCCATGTTTGACGGTGGGGATGGTGTTCTTGGGGTCATAGGCAGCATTCCTCCTCCTCCAAACACGGCGAGTTGAGTTGATGCCAAAGAGCTCCATTTTGGTCTCATCTGACCACAACACTTTCACCCAGTTCTCCTCTGAATCATTCAGATGTTCATTGGCAAACTTCAGACGGGCATGTATTTGTGCTTTCTTGAGCAGGGGGACCTTGCGGGCGCTGCAGGATTTCAGTCCTTCACGGCGTAGTGTGTTACCAATTGTTTTCTTGGTGTCTATGGTCCCAGCTGCCTTGAGATCATTGACAAGATCCTCCCGTGTAGTTCTGGGCTGATTCCTCGTTCTCATGATCATTGCAACTCCACGAGGTGAGATCTTGCATGGAGCCCCAGGCCGAGGGAGATTGAGAGGTCTTTTGTGTTTCTTCCATTTGCAAATAATTGCACCAACTGTTGTCACCTTCTCACCAAGCTGCTTGGCGATGGTCTTGTAGCCCATTCCAGCCTTGTGTAGGTCTACAATCTTGTCACTGACATCCTTGGAGAGCTCTTTGGTCTTGGCCATGGTGGTGAGTTTGGAATCTGATTGATTGATTGCTTCTGTGGACAGGTGTTTTTTTTACAGGTAACAAACTGAGATTAGGAGCACTCCCTTTAAGAGTGTGTTCCTAATCTCAGCTCGTTACCTGTATAAAAGACACCTGGGAGCCAGAAATCTTTCTGATTGAGAGGGGGTCAAATACTTATTTCCCTCATTAAAATGCAAATCAATTTATAACATTTTTTACATGCATTTTTCTGAATTTTTTGGTTGTTATTCTGTCTCTCACTGTTCAAATAAACCTACCATTAAAATTATAGACTGATCATGTCTTTGTCAGTGGGCAAACATACAAAATCAGCAGGGGATCAAATACTTTTTTCCTCACTGTATATACTGAGATCATGTGACAGATCATGCAACACTTAGATTGCACACAGGTGGACTTTATTTAACTAATTATGTGACTTCTGAAGGTAATTGGTTGCAGCAGATCATTGCTTCATAGCAAAAGGGGTGAATACACCACTTTTCCGTTATTTATTTTTTTGAATTTTTTTAAACAAGTAATGTTTTTCATTTCACTTCACCAATTTGGACTATTTTGTGTATGTCCATTACATGAAATCCAAATAAAAATCCATTTAAATTACAGGTTCTAATGCAACAAAATAGGAAAAACGCCAAGGGGGATGAATACTTTTGCAAGGCACTGTAGCAGCTTCCCACCAGAATTGGCTTTAGGTGAGGCAGATGAACCTGTAGCCATATTACTTCAACAGTATTTAACATGAGATCCTCTCTAATCTTCACAGGAATGTGGTTCTGAATATAAACAGCAACACCTCCACCATTGGCATTTCTATATTTTCTGTAAATGTTATAACCTTGTATTGCTACCACTGGATCATCAAAGGTATTATCTAAGTGAGTTTTCAGAGATAGTCAGAATATGAATGTCATCTGTTATTAGCAAATTATTGATTTCATGAACCTTGTTTCTTAAGCTACATATGTTAACGTGGGCTATTTTGAGCACTTTTCTACTGGGATGCTTCTGTTTATTGCTTTACTGGGAAGCTTAGCAGCAGTAGATGTGCTCATGTTCTTTATGTTAGTGCAGGGTGAGCTGCACACAGTGGCCTTCCTCCTCGGGCACACCGGCTCAGTGCTAACAGTATAAATCTGGTTCTTAGGCACATGATTACTGCATACAATAGCTGTAGGATAAGCAGAGGCATTCAGGGCAGCTAGAGGGACACAAACCAGGTTACCCACGTTGTGTCTACTGACGCCCCTGATGTAATGTACATTTGCTGAAGCATTTTGACAACTCTGCGTCACAATGGTAGGGATTAGCTGAGCTGGGCTTGGGTCATTGCTAAGTCATTGTCTCAACGCAGCCTTATAATGCTGTGAAAGGATCCTCCATATAAAATGTGTTTTGTTTCCAAAAGGTATCGAAATTGTCAACAAAAGTTACACCCATTGAGCTGCAATAATCACGTAACCAGTTGTGAAGAGCAAGAATCCTGCTAAAGCATTCAATGCCACGATTCAGAGAGGGCACGGGGCCAGATATGATGTTTTTTTTGTTAGTGTCTAGCAGAGAGTCAATCAGCTCTTTAAAATCCAGTTTCAACTGTTCAGAGCTGCCCTTCATAATATCATTAAAACCCACATGGACTACGAGAAAATCGATTTCCATGTCCTGACGTAGTACATTTGGGAGCAGCTTAGTAATGTCATTTCCTCGAGCTCCGGGATAGAGACATTGTTTTTGCACCAGGAATGGTCACATTTCTTACCATGGAGCAAAATCACGGCCGGCGAGAAGCACGAGGAAATCCGCCCACTCATCTCAGACTGATGGAGAAGCCCCGCTCGATCCAGAGCAGGGGTGGAAGGTTGCCGACGTCGACTTCGGAATCGTAGGGGAAGGAGTAGGAGTAGTCACAGCGGCTGCAGACACAGCGACTCCCACGCTTCACAGGATGGTGCAGGCCTCCAACAGATGGAGAATCCCCACTCGATCCAAATCGGAAGGTTGCCGACGTCGACTTCCAAATCGTAGTAGTAGGCACTGCGGCCGCAGACACAGGCACCCCTAGCGACGAAGGTGCAGGAAGATCAGGCTCCAGGACGGCGAAAACTATTAGTTGTTTGTATCCGTTCCGGGCCTCTCGTTGGGAGTGTAGATTGCTTTGCGGGAGGTCGCAACTCGCTGGAACCGTTAATTTAGTTCTCCAGACAAAGAGGGCTCCTTTGCAAAACTCATCTGGTACCAACTTCGTTAGCTTGATGGCTAGCAGCTTAGCTAGCTATCAAGTCCCTCTGGATAAGAACATCTGCTAAATTACATAAATGTAACAAGTTTTCCAAGTGGTGGCCTTTCTCGGCCCACTATTGGAAGTCAAATATAGGTTTCCTGTCAAATCCTTTACTGAGAACACAAAAACTGTTAAAACATCACATAGACAAAGCATGTCAATATCAAATCTTACTAAAAACAAAACATCAACACATTCATACAAAAAAGTAATTATTTTTCCAGATCATTCAGATATCCATAACCCTAACGGCAAGTTCTAGCATGTATTTGCATATTTCCGTTAGGGAACGCCTACTCTGTGAAGTGCGTGTGTGCAATGACTCAATTCGCCTTTTTAGAAACTTTGGCAACGGGTAAATTCTACAAAAGTTGAAAAAAAGAGTTTGAGTGATGAAAGTTGGACAGAGGATCTCAAAATCTCTGAGCAAGAAACACTTGGATGAACACAAAAAAAAACTAATGCTAGGCTATTTTCTGGCAATTGTGCTGTTATTATGTGCCAGATGTTAAGACTACAAACCATTATAAATGGTCCATTTGAGAGATTGACTTGTCATTTCAATAGGCATAGGCGACTGACTAAAATCTGGGTTTATGATTGTAATTCAACTTTGACATGGTTTGCTTCGATAAAGGCAGGTAGCCTATAGCCCCTGATAGTCCTACATATAATTTCGGATAGTCTACAGTAGCCTAGACAAGATGTAGGCAAGATGTAAACTGAACGATTTAGCAGCTTGCTTAGTTCAAACAGACACATTTATTCAACATGAATAGCGAGGCGATATCGAGGTAAGGAGTGCTTGTGTTTCCCAATAGCCTGCCTGAACAGGCTCCTGAGGATGGGGTCATAATTTCAATCACTGAATTAAATATTAACATGTATATACAGTGGGGGAAAAAAGTATTTAGTCAGTATTTACACGTCAACTATGACAGACAAAATGAGAAAAAACAATCCAGAAAATCACATTTGTAGGATTTTTTATGAATTTATTTGCAAATTATGGTGGAATATAAGTATTTGGTCAATAACAAAAGTTTCTCAATACTTTGTTATATACCCTTTGTTGGCAATGACACAGGTCAAACGTTTTCTGTAAGTCTTCATAAGGTTTTCACACACTGTTGCTGGTATTTTGGCCCATTCCTCCATGCAGATCTCCTCTAGAGCAGTGATGTTTTGGGGCTGTCGCTGGGCAACACGGACTTTCAACTCCCTCCAAAGATGTTCTATGGGGTTGAGATCTGGAGACTGGCTAGGCCACTCCAGGACCTTGAAATGCTTCTTACGAAGCCACTCCTTCGTTGCCAGGGCGGTGTGTTTGGGATCATTGTCATGCTGAAAGACCCAGCCACGTTTCATCTTCAATGCCCTTGCTGATGGAAGGAGGTTTTCACTCAAAATCTCACGATACATGGCCCCATTCATTTTTTTCCTTTACACGGATCAGCCCCAAAGCATGATGTTTCCACCCCCATGCTTCACAGTAGGTATGGTGTTCTTTGGATGCAACTCAGCATTCTTTGTCCTCCAAACACGACGAGTTGAGTTTTTACCAAATAGTTCTATTTTGGTTTCATCTGACCATATGACATTCTCCCAATCCTCTTCTGGATCATCCAAATGCACTCTAGCAAACTTCAGACGGGCCTGGACATGTACTGGCTTAAGCAGGGGGACACGTCTGGCACTGCAGGATTTGAGTCCCTGGCGGCGTAGTGTGTTACTGATGGTAGGCTTTGTTACTTTGGTCCCAGCTCTCTGCAGGTCATTCACTAGGTCCCCCCGTGTGGTTCTGGGATTTTTGCTCACCGTTCTTGTGATCATTTTGACCCCACGGGGTGAGATCTTGCGTGGAGCCCCAGATCGAGGGAGATTATCAGTGGTCTTGTATGTCTTCCATTTCCTAATAATTGCTCCCACAGTTGATTTCTTCAAACCAAGCTGCTTACCTATTGCAGATTCGGTCTTCCCAGCCTGGTGCAGGTCTACAATTTTGTTTCTGGTGTCCTTTGACAGCTCTTTGGTCTTGGCCATAGTGGAGTTTGGAGTGTGACTGTTTGAGGTTGTGGACAGGTGTCTTTTATACTGATAACAAGTTCAAACAGGTGCCATTAATACAGGTAACGAGTGGAGGACAGAGGAGCCTCTTAAAGAAGAAGTTACAGGTCTGTGAGAGCCAGAAATCTTGCTTGTTTGTAGGTGGCCAAATACTTATTTTCCACCATAATTTGCAAATAAATTCATTAAAAATCCTACAATGTGATTTTCTGGATTTTTTTTCTCAATTTGTCTGTCATAGTTGACGTGTACCTATGATGAAAATTACAGGCCTCTCTCATCTTTTTAAGTGGGAGAACTTGCACAATTGGTGGCTGACCAGGGCTTATTTTTTTAGATGTTTTTATTTTATTTATTCCTGTACCCTAATCTGACTACTGTTACCCTCAATCTAATGCATTCTAACAACTGATCAGCAATTGCTATAGAGCTTTGATAACTTCCAATTTAATTAACTAAACATGTCCATTAATAATTGCATAATAACATAATATTTATTAAATTGGTTTGCCAGCTCCAGGTAAGCAACACAAGTGGCACATTTTATTTTATTTATTTAATCTTTATTTAACAAATAGTTAAGAACAAATTCTTATTTACAATGAGGGCCTACCAAAAAGCAAAAGGCCTGTGGGGACGGGGGCTGGAATTAAAAATAAAAATATAGGACAAAACACACATCACGACAAGAGAGACAACACAACACTACATAAAGACAGACTAAAGACAACAACACAGTATGGCAGCAACACATGACAACAACACGGTAGCAACACAACATGACAACAACACGGTAGCAACACAACATGACAACAACACGGTAGCAACACAACATGACAACAACACGGTAGCAACACAACATGACAACAACACGGTAGCAACACAGCATGACAACAACACGGTAGCAACACAACATGACAACAACACGGTAGCAACACAACATGACAACAACACGGTAGCAACACAACATGACAACAACACGGTAGCAGCACAACATGGTACAAACATTATTGGGCACAGACAACAGCACAAAGGGCAAGAAGGTAGAGACAACAATACATCACGGGAAGCAGCCACAAGTGTCAAATCAAATCAAATTTGATTGGCCACATGCGCCGAATACAACAGGTGCAGACATTACAGTGAAATGCTTACTTACAGCCCTTAACCAACAGTGCATTTATTTTTAATAAAAAAGTAAAATAAAATATCTACAAAAAAGTGTTGAGAAAAAAAGAGCAGAAGTAAAATAAAATAACAGTAGGGAGGCTATTTATACAGGGGGGTACCGGTGCAGAGTCAATGTGCGGGGGCACCGGCTAATTGAGGTAGTTGAAGTAATATGTACATGTGGGTAGAGTTAAAGTGACTATGCATAAATAATTAACAGAGTAGCAGCAGCGTAAAAAGATGGGGTGGGTGGGCAGTGCAAATAGTCCGGGTAGCCATGATTAGCTGTTCAGGAGTCTTATGGCTTGGGGGTAGAAGCTGTTGAGAAGTCTTTTGGACCTAGACTTGGCACTCCGGTACCGCTTGCCGTGCGGTAGCAGAGAGAACAGTCTATGACTAGGGTGGCTGGAGTCTTTGACAATTTTGAGGGCCTTCCTCTGACACCGCCTGGTATAGAGGTCCTCGATGGCAGGAAGCTTGGCCCCAGTGATGTACTGGGCTCTACCCTCTGTAGTGCCTTGCGGTCGGAGGCCAAGCAGTTGCCATACCAGGCGGTGATGCAACCAGTCAGGATGCTCTCGATGGTGCAGCTGTAGAATATTTTGAGGATCTGAGGACCCATGCCGAATCTTTTCAGTCTCCTGAGGGGGAATAGGCTTTGTCGTGCCCTCTTCACGACTGTCTTGGTGTGTTTGGACCATGATAGTTTGTTGGTGATGTGGACACCAAGGAACTTGAAGCTCTCAACCTGTTCCACTACAGCCCCGTCGATGAGAATGGGGGCGTGCTCAGTCCTCTTTTTTTTCCTGTAGTCCACAATCATCTCCTTTGTCTTGGTCACGTTGAGGGAGAGGTTGTTATCCTGGCACCACACGGCCAGGTCTCTGACCTCCTCCCTATAGGCTGTCTCATCGTTGTCGGTGATCAGGCCTACCACTGTTGTGTCGTCGGCAAACTTAATGATGGTGTTGGAGTCGTGCCTGGCCATGCAGTCATGGGTGAACAGGGAGTACAGGAGGGGACTGAGCACGCACCCCTGAGGGGCCCCCGTGTTGAGGATCAGTGTGGCAGATGTGTTGTTACCTACCCTTACCACCTGGGGGCGGCCCGTCAGGAAGTCCAGGATCCAGTTAGCAGAGGGAGGTGTTTAGTCCCAGGATCCTTAGCTTAGTGATGAGCTTTGAGGGCACTATGGTGTTGAATGCTGAGCTGTAGTCAATGAATAGCATTCTCACGTAGGTGTTCCTCTTGTCCAGGTGGGAAAGGGCAGTGTGGAGTGCAATAGAGATTGCATCATCTGTGGATCTGTTGGGGCGGTATGCAAATTGGAGTGGGTCTAGGATTTCTGGGATAATGGTGTTGATGTGAGCCATGACCAGCCTTTCAAAGCACTTCATGGCTACAGACGTCAGTGCTACGGGTCGGTAGTCATTTAGGCAGGTTATCTTAGTGTCCTTGGGCTCACATAGTCATCCGGAACAGCTGGTGCTCTCATGCATGATTCAGTGTTGCTTGCCTCGAAGCGAGCATAGAAGTGGTTTAGCTCGTCTGGTAGGCTTGTGTCACTGGGAAGCTCGCGGCTGTGCATCCCTTTGTAGTCTGTAATAGTTTTCTAGCCCTGCCACATCCGATGAGCGTCAGAGCCGGTGTAGTACAATTCAATCTTAGTCCTGTATTGACTCTTTGCCTGTTTGATGGTTTGTCGGAGGGCATAGCGGGATTTCTTATAAGCGTCCGGGTTAGAGTCCCGCTCCTTGAAAGCGGCAGCTCTACCCTAGCTCAGTGCGGAACTCGTAACTCGTTTCCTGTAATCCATGGCTTCTGGTTGGGGTATGTACGTACGGTCACTGTGGGGACGACATCATCGATGCACTTATTGATGAAGCCAGTGACTGATGTGGTGTACTCCTCAATGCTATCTGAAGAATCCCGGAACATGTTCGTTTGTGCTAGCAAAACAGTCCTGTAGCTTAGCATCTGCGTCATCTGACCACTTTTTTATTAACCTAGTCACTGGTGCTTCCTGCTTTAGTTTTTGCTTATAAGCAGGAATCAGTAGGATAGAGTTATGGTCAGATTTGCCAAATGGAGGGCGAGGGAGAGCTTTGTATGCGTCTCTGTGTGTGGAGTAAAGGTGGTCTAGAGTTTTTTTTCCTCTGGTTGCACATTTAACATGCTGGTAGAAATTAGGTAGAACGGATTTAAGTTTCCCTGCATTAAAGTCCCCGGCCACTAGGAGCGCTGCCTCTGGATGAGCGTCAGTGTGAGTGTCCATGATTGAGTCTTTGAATGAAGAGATGGAGATAAAACATTGATTTGCAATGACTCCAGTGATGGGGTCATCATTTCAATCACTGAATTAAATATTAATAATATGTATATATACTGAATATGCTTGTCAACAACAGCCAGTGTTTATTTTTTAAATGTTTTTATTTTATTTATTCCTGTACCCTAATCTGACTACTGTTATCGTCAATCTAATGCGTTCTAACTGATCGGCAATTGCTATAGAGCTTTGATAACTTCCAATTTAATTAACTAAACATGTCCATTAATAATTGCATACTAACATAAGGCAACAACAACAATAAACTGAAGTTATAGGCTATTTATTCAATTGGTTTGCCAGCTCCAGGTAGGCTACACAAGGGGGCACATTGACTTGCAATAACTCCAGTGATATCATTTCAACATATTTATTGTGTCAAATGGTAGCCTACAATGGTATATCAATTAATAGGCTACTTGATGGCCAACAGAGGCAAATTGATCATTCTCCACATAATGTCAGTTTGATTGAGGACTTTTCCCCATAAAAAGAACCACGTGAGGGAGTTCCATAACTTCCATTTCAAATGTCCACTCGGGCAGCCCCCGATACCTAAGAACTGAGCATGCATAAAACACTTCGCTTGATACCGTTTTCTTTCAGCAAAGGCAACATTAGAATGCAGTTTAAACCACCTCCTAGTGAATTTATGTAATGGGCTCTAGTGCGCCCAAAGTCGTTTTCCAGTGCTTTGTCGCCATCATTTATTGACGTGCATCAGTTCTAGCTTAATTCATATGTTTTACGGGAAAAGGGTTAGAAATCGGTGTCTCCATAATGACAATCTAAGTAGCCTACCTACAACTGGTAAAAAGTTGTCAGCGTACTGCTGCCTCCTCTCGCTCACGCGACTCAGCCAATAGCCGTAGCACAGATAGAACAATGGTTTAGTTATACACATCTTTGGCTGTAGCGCTTTCTCAACACACACACACACACACACACACACACACACACACACACACACACACACACACACACACACACACACCCCTCCGGCCCTCCCCTCCACTCACTCACTCAGCAACAGCCTCCTCACTGCCTGACAGTCAGAAAGCAGGTCACAGTGAAATATATATATATTTTTTAAAAGAGAAATGCCATGGCGGCCGCGGTGCAATTTCGATATAGGCCAAAACCCCGCAACCAATACATTTTTACCCGCGACATTGTTTTCCAAGTAGCCCAATTTAGCCGGAAAACCGAGAAAATGACAACACTGCCCCGCCCCTTCTTCTGTAGGGTTTATCGGCGGCTGGCATCCAACGTTACTGTGCGTTACCGCCACCTACCGCACTGGAGCGCCCCCGCCTCCCGCCTGTCCAAGCATAAAAATTGACAAATAGAAGTATAAAGAGGGGTTCTTGCAAATGCAGGAACGCCCCGAATTGCACCCTTCTCATATAAGCTACTGTAAGTGATTCATTTGATAAAAACGTAGGCTACATTTGAATTGGGTAGCTTTGATCCGTTATATATTTTTGATTGGTCGAAATTCATGGGCCCTTGGTATGCATACATTTAATATAAATATTCGAGTGAACGTTGATAAAAATCTGCTACCCACCAATACCATATATCAAGGCTTTTCACTGTACTTATACATGTGTCATTAAAACATATATCAAGTAATTTTTTAAGTAACATTTTACACAACGGTGTCGTGAAAGAGATATATTTGGTTTTAATTTTGTCACTCAATAATATTCCACCAATCGCCACACAGGCCTCAACGAGTTGCTAGGAAGAATATGGTAATATATGCAATGCAGCCACCTCTGCAGCTACCATTCTGAGGTAAGAACAACTTCAACGTTTTCATTAAATATAGCAAAACTCGAGAGAATTTCTGCTTCATTCCAAAAAGTTCAATTTCTAGATGACTTCCTTGTAAGTATCAATCAAAATCTCGCTACCGGGTAACACATTTATATCGATAGAAATATACAGATTTTCGTTTGGTCGCTTCAAATGTGGTTGTTGTTGTTTAGTCCCACCCAAAATGGAGCCTCTTCTTCCTTGTTCTCCGGCGGCTCCAGGCTCGGCTCAACTAGAAGGGGGGACGGGTGGGTCTAGCCCAAATATTTGGGCCCCCGTCAATTTATAGACCATTTGACAAATACAGCACAGCATTACTAATGTTATGGATCCGATTTGCGATGTACATTTTCAAGGTCGGCCATACATTGGCGTTAAATGTGATAATGCGGGGGCCGAGGCGCAGTAAATGCCCGGGTTTCTGCAGCGCTGATTTTTGTGGTATGGTCCGGTTGGAACCGACAACCTGAGGGGTCAGAGCAGGGGGGAAATACACCGAATATACACGATACGGGCGATATGTGTTTAAACTAGAAAAATAACACCATGTCACACATTGCGCGTTATCGATGCAAAAGGGTCCAGTTTTGACTCCATTTTCCTCGCGCGCTCGCCGGTGCTCATTCGGCGGCGTTTCTGTCCTACCCCCGGTAGAGTGGTTAGTTTGACTGTTCTTTGCGATAAAAACCCGGCATGCTGGTTTATTTGGGTTATTTAGCCCTGTCAATGGAATGGTAGTTAGCAAGCTCACCATCCCAAATATGAATGTCACGATCTTACCCTCTGCAACATGTGTGACTGATAGCTACATTGTTAGCAATACAAGCTAAGCTAGCTAACATACGTCGCCCCCATTGTACAAAAGGGCGCAGTCCAACACGCACCAGCTGAAATACAAATCTCCATCCTCTCGCTAGACTATTCTACGTAACTGGTCAGGTGCTATGATAATGCAATCAATGCCCGTTCATAAATGAAACATCAGAAAGATAATTGTGTTGCTCTGAATGCATTTCTGAAAGAGAAAACAAACTATTCATACATTTGTAACCACAGTAATATAGTTACTGTAGCTAATCAACAAACAGCATGCCAGACAGTTATACACAATGTATTTGCGTCAATGCATTTTGCACTCTGATGTGCTTTGTAAACAATATTACCATCTAATTTCCACATTAGAAATGGTCTATTTGTAAAAACAAATACAAAAAAAATAGGCCTAAGATACAGTAAATATAAAAAAAAAAAGAAATATTTCCCACATTAACTTACAGCCCTGTCATCACAGAGTTTTTAAACCATGTATTCTCTTTGCTGTGGTTGTCATCAGTGTGCATCCTAACTCTATGTGCTGTGGTTGTCATGTGATCATCAGTACATTCTAACTCCTGTGCTGTGGTTGTCATGTGATCATCAGTACATCCTAACTCTATGTGCTGTGGTTGTCATGTGATCATCAGTACATTCTAACTCCATGCTGTGGTTGTCATGTGATCATCAGTACATTCTAACTCCATGCTGTGGTTGTCATGTGATCATCAGTACATTCTAACTCATCCTGGAGCTGCCAGCAGCTGCGGTTGGTGTGATCAGGTGGTGACCGTGGTAACGGGATCCGGCTGCAGCCATGGAGACCAAGCAGGAAACATCCCCTGTGTGGAGCCAGGCAGGAAACAGCGAATCAGGGAATGCCACTCAGGTGACTGATACTGTAACTGTACTCCACATGTGTCCAACTCATTGTCGTCCCACCCTTCTACCTGATTGATGAATTAAGGTCACTAATTAGTAAGGAACTACCCTCACCTGGTTGTCTTACTTGAAAGGAAAAACCTGCAAACACTCTGCCATCTGTGGAATGAGTTTGACACCCCTTCTGTACTCACTCATGTCTTACAAGTAGGGCGAAGTTGCCCCTAGATGCAGATCTTGGGCCAGTTTTGCATTTCCCTCACTAATGGTTAAAGGGATACTTCGGGATGCTGGCAACGAGGCCCTTTATCTACCTCCCCGGAGTCAGATGAACTGGTGGATACCATTTTTATTTCTCTGTGTTCAGTAAGAAGGAAGTTGGAGGTAGTTTTGTGAGCCCAATGCTAACTAGCGTTAGCACAATGACTGGAAGTCTATGGGTATCTGCTATCGTGCACAACTTCCTTCAAACTGCACGCAGAGACATACAAATGGAGTTCATCTGACTCTGGGTAAATAGATTAAGGGCCTCATTGCCAACATCCCGAAGTATCCCTTTAAGGTTAGGATTGGGGCAGGAGAAGCTTATCCTAGATCTGTATCTAGGGGAAACTCAGGTCTGTCTTGCATTGTTAGGAGGGTCCATTCAGTTTAATTCAGGATCTTCATCGAAACTCATTGAAACAATGGGACATTTTAAAATCATGAATAGCCCTAGTTCACGATTACGTTCTGTGTCTCTCTCTCTCTGTGTCTCTCTCTGTGTCTCTCTCTCTCTGTGTCTCTCTCTGTCTCTGTCTCTGTGTGTTGCAGGTGCATTTTGAGGGGGGTACAGTAGCCCAGATAGTGTACAGTGGAGAACAGCAGGACAGAGGGCAGCAGCAGGTGGTCTACACAGCAGACGGTAACTCCTACACATCTGTGGAGTCTGCAGAACACACGCTGGTCTACATCCACCCGGCCGACGGATCAGCGGTGAGGAACACGGGGCCTTTTACAGGACATTTCCGTTGTACTTTATTCTCACGTACTTATAAGAACTGTTCTATTCTATGTGTATTGACCTGTGGTTTTCCAGGGTGTGTTTTCAGACCAGCCTCAGGTGGCCTACATTCAACAGGATGGTACTACGCAACAGGTACGTTTTATTTACACTATTCTTTTTCATGGACTTGTATTAAAAATAAAATAATGAATTTTAATGCAAATGGACAATACAAGTTTTATCATATTGTTATCGTACATAACTTGACCAGGGGGGGAAAAAAACTCTGGTACTCAGTTATTTCTCTGTCAGGTCAAGCGGAGCTCTGGGTCCTAAGTAGAAATGTTGCGTGTTATTCTCTCTCTTGCCACCAGGTGACAGTGTTGTTGCCCAGTGGCCAGAACATGAACGCTGCCAACCTTCATGTCCTCAGTAACGTGGCCGAGGCTCCACAGGCCCTCCTGGAGCCAGTTACACAGGTGAGGAGTCGGTAGTGCTGAACGATTTAGTGCTTTTTGAGGTCGGTTCGGTTTCAGTTCGATAGTGCATTTAATGTTTTAAAAAATGATGTGGGTTAAGTGCTTTAACAACACAGAATAAAACTATTAATAAAAGTCCCATGGTGGTAGTGACTGTCCATTACTGCTTATCACTTATTTACCATCATTTATTCACATGACTTTACTTTAATAAAACATTTCAGTTTTTGAGTATATTATTATTTTTATTCCAAGTCATCTCATCTCTGAAGAGTTGCTGCCTATGATGTCTGACAAAATCACTATTTTAGTGGTTCTTCAAAGTAAATAAGGCAGACTTTTATGATTGCTGAATACCAACTATCAGTCAGTTAGATCATGTATTTTCAGGTAGAGATCCCTCTTGAAGCAGCTGCTCTCTGTCCCTCTCCATCGCTCATTCTCCTGTCTCTTCTCTCTGTCCCTCTCCATCGCTCATTCTCCTGTCTCTTCTCTCTGTCCCTCTCCATCGCTCATTCTCCTGTCTCTTCTCTCTGTCCCTCTCCATCGCTCATTCTCCTGTCTCTTCTCTCTGTCCCTCTCCATCCCTCTCTCCATCGCCCTTCATCCCATTCTCCTGTCTCTTCTCTCTGTCCCTCTCCATCGCTCATTCTCCTGTCTCTTCTCTCTGTCCCTCTCTCCATCGCTCATTCTCCTGTCTCTTCTCTCTGTCCTCTCCATCTCATTCTCCTGTCTTCTCTCTTCCCTCTCATCGCTCATTCTCCGTCCTTTCTCTGTCCTCTCCCATCGCTCATTCTCCTGTCCTCTTCCTCTTCCCTCTCCTCGCTCATGCATCTCCTGTCTCTTCTCTCTGTCCCTCTCCATCGCTCATTCTCCTGTCTCTTCTCTCTGTCCCTCTCCATCGCTCATTCTCCCCTCTCGCTCTTCTTCCTCTCTGTCCCTCTCCATCGCTCATTCTCCTGTCTCTTCTCTCTGTCCCTCTCCATCGCTCATTCTCCTGTCTCTTTCTCTCTGTCCCTCTCCATCGCTCATTCTCCTGTCTCTTCTCTCTGTCCCTCTCCATCGCTCATTCTCCTGTCTCTTCTCTCTGTCCCTCTCCATCGCTCATTCTCCTGTCTCTTCTCTCTGTCCCTCTCCATCGCTCATTCTCCTGTCTCTTCTCTCTGTCCCTCTCCATCGCTCATTCTCCTGTCCTCTTCTCTCTGTCCCTCTCCATCGCTCATTCTCCTGTCTCTTCTCTCTGTCCCTCTCCATCGCTCATTCTCCTGTCTCTTCTCTCTGTCCCTCTCCATCGCTCATTCTCCTGTCTCTTCTCTCTGTCCCTCTCCATCGCTCATTCTCTGTCTCTTCTCTCTGTCCCTCTCCATCGCTCATTCTCCTGTCTCTTCTCTCTGTCCCTCTCCATCGCTCATTCTCCTGTCTCTTCTCTCTGTCCCTCTCCATCGCTCATTCTCCTGTCTCTTCTCTCTGTCCCTCTCCATCGCTCATTCTCCTGTCTCTTCTCTCTGTCCCTCTCCATCGCTCATTCTCCTGTCTCTTCTCTCTGTCCCTCTCCATCGCTCATTCTCCTGTCTCTTCTCTCTGTCCCTCTCCATCGGCTCATTCTCCTGTCTCTTCTCTCTGTCCCTCTCCATCGCTCATCTCCTGTCCTCTTCTCTCTGTCCCTCTCCATCGCTCATTCTCCTGTCTCTTCTCTCTGTCCCTCTCCATCGCTCATTCTCCTGTCTCTTCTCTCTGTCCCTCTCCATCGCTCATTCTCCTGTCTCTTCTCTCTGTCCCTCTCCATCGCTCATTCTCCTGTCTCTTCTCTCTGTCCCTCTCCATCGCTCATTCTCCTGTCTCTTCTCTCTGTCCCTCTCCATCGCTCATTCTCCTGTCTCTTCTCTCTGTCCCCTCTCCATCGCTCATTCTCCTGTCTCTTCTCTCTGTCCCTCTCCATCGCTCATTCTCCTGTCCTCTTCTCTCTGTCCCTCTCCATCGCTCATTCTCCTGTCTCTTCTCTCTGTCCCTCTCCTCGCTCATTCTCCTGTCTCTTCTCTCTGTCCCTCTCCATCGCTCATCTCCTGTCCTTCTCTCTGTCCCTCTCCATCCTCATTCTCCCTGTCTCTTCTCTCTGTCCCTCTCCATCGCTCATTCTCCTGTCTCTTCTCTCTGTCCTCCTCCATCGCTCATCTCACTGTCCTTCGTCTCTTCCTCTCATTCTTCTCCTGTCTCTCTTGTTCTTCAGCCTTCTTTCTCTCTTCTCTCTTCACGCCTCTCATCTCTCATTTCGTTTCCTGTCTTTCTTCTTTCCTCTCAACTCGACAATAGCCTCGCATCATGAAGCCTTTTGGCGTTTACCATTTAATACGTTAATGTTCCTTGACTATACAGTGCATTCAGATACAGTACTTTCAGACCCCTTTTGGCACTTTTTCCTCATCATTCTTGTTGACGCTTACAAGCCTTTCATCTAAACCTGTATTTCGTTTTCTCCCATTCTCTCCCTCCTCTCAACTACACCAGTGATGAGCGCCTCACAAGCAAAGTTTCTAGAGAATGTTGAATGGTTTAAATACCGGAAATCATTACATTGCATCAAGTATTCAGACCCTTTCCTCAGTACTTTGTTAAAGCACCTTTGGCAGCGATTATAGCCTCGAGTCTTCTTGGGTATGACGCTACAAGCTTGGCACACCTGTATTTGGGGAGTTTCTCCCATTCTTCTCTGCAGATCCTCTCAAGCTCTGTCAGGTTGGATGGGGAGCGTCGCTGCACAGCTATTTTCAGGTCTCTCCAGAGATGTTAGATCGGGTTCAAGTCCGGGCTCTGGCTGGGCCACTCAAGGACATTCAGAGACTTGTCCCGAAGCCACTCCTGCGTTGTCTTGGCTGTGTGTTTAGGGTCGTTGTCTTGTTGGAAGGTGAACCTTCGCCCCAGTCTGAGGTCCTGAGCGCTCTGGAGCAGGTTTTCATCAAGGATCTCTCTGTACTTTGCTCCGTTCATCTTTCCCTTGATCCTGACTAGTCTCCCAGTCCCTGCCGCTGAAAAACATCCCCACAGCATGATGCTGCCACCACCATGCTTCACCGTAGGGATGGTGCCAGGTTTCCTCCAGACGTGATGCTTGGCATTCATGCCAAAGAGTTCAATCTTGGTTTCATCAGACCAGATAATCTTGTTTCTGATCAAAACAAATCAAATGTTATTTTTCACATGCGCCGAATACAACAGGTGTAGACCTTACAGTGAAATGCATACTTACAAGCCCTTAACCAACAATGCAATTGAAAGAAAAATAAGTGTTAAGTAAACAATAGATAAGCAGTAAAATAACAGTAAAAAAAACAGTAGTGAGGCTATATACAGGGGGTACCAGTACAGAGTCAATGTACAGGGACACCGGTTAGTCCAGGTAATTGAGGTGATATATACAGTACCAGTCAAAAGTTTTAGAACACCTTTTTTGGTTACTACATGATTCCATATGTGTTATTTCACAGTTGTGATGTCTTCACTATTATTCTACAATGTAGAAATAGTAAAAATAAAGAAAAACCCTGGAATGAGGAGGTGTGTCCAGACTCTTGACCGGTACTGTACATGTAGGTATAGTTAAAGTGACTGTGCATAGATAATAAACAGAGAGTAACAGCAGTGTAAAGGGGGGGGGGGGTAGTCTGGGTAGCCATGATTAGCTGTTCAGGAGTCTTATGGCTTGGGGGTAGAAGCTGTTAAGAAGCCTTTTGGACCTAGACTTGGCGCTCTGGTATCGCTTGCCGGGCAGTAGCAGAGAGAACAGTCTATAACTAGGGTGGCTGGAGTATTTGACAATTTTTTAGGGCCTTCCTCTGACACTGCCTGGTATAGAGGTCCTGGATGGCAGGAAGCTTGGCCCCAGTGATGTACTGGATCGTACTCACTACCCTCTGCAGTGCCTTGCGGTCGGAGGCCGAGCAGTTGCCATACCAGGCAGTGATGCAACCAGTCAGGATGCTCTCGATGGTGCAGCTGTAGAACCTTTTGAGGATCTGAGGACCCATGCCAAATATTTTCAGTCTCCAGCGGGGGAATAGGCTTTGTCGTGGCCTCTTCACGACTGTCTTGGTGTCCTTGGACCATGTTAGTTAGTTTGTTGGTTATGTGGACACCAAGGAACTTGAAGCTCTCAACCTGCTCCACTACAGCCCCGTCGATGAGAATGGGGGTGTGCTCAGTCCTCATCTTTTTCCTGTTGTACACAATCCATCTCCTTTGTCTTGGTCACGTTGAGGGAGAGGTTGTTATCCTGGCACCACACTACCAGGTCTCTGACCTCCTCCCTATAGGCTGTCTCATCATTGTCGGTGATCAGGCTTACAACTGTTGTGTCGTCGGCAAACTTAATAATGGTGTTGGAGTCGTGCCTGGCCATGCAGTCATGGGTGAACAGGGAGTACAGGAGGGGACTGAGCACACACCCCTGAGGGGCCCCCGTGTTGAGGATCATGTGTTGTTACCTACCCTTACCACCTGGGGGCGGCCCGTCAGGATGTCCAGGATCCAGTTGCAGAGGGAGGTGTTTAATCCCAGGGTCCTTAGCTTAGTGATGAACCATGTTGGTATTACGGACTCAGTCAGGGACAGGTTGAAAATGTCAGTGAAGACACTTGCCAGTTGGTCAGCGCATGCTCCGAGTACACGTCCTGGTAATCCGTCTGGCCCTGCTGCCTTGTGAATGTTGAACTGCTTTAAAGTCTTACTCACATCGGTTACGGAGAGCGTGATCACATAGTCATCTGGAACAGCTGATGCTCTCATGCATGCTTCAGTGTTGCTTGCCTCGAAGCGAGCATAGAAGGGTTTTAGCTCATCTGGTAGGCTTGTGTCACTGGGCAGCTCGCGGCTGCGCTTCCCTTTGTAGTCTGTAATAGTTTGCAAGCCCTGCCACATCCGACCAGCGTCAGAGCCGGTGTAGTACGATTCGATCTTAGTCCTGTATTGACTCTTTGCCTGTTTGATGGTTCGTCGAAGGGCATAGCAGGATTTCTTATGAGCGTCCGGGTTAGAGTCCCGCTCCTTAAAAGCGCTAGCTCTACCCTTTAGCTCAGTGCTGATGTTGCCTGTAATCCATGGCTTCTGGTTGGGGTATGTACGTACGGTCACTGTGGGGACGACGTCATCGATGCATTTATTGATGAAGCCGGTGACTGAGGTGGTATACTCCTCAACGCTATCTGAAGAATCCCGGAACATATTCCATTCTGTGCTTGGAGACCTACAGGAGGGTGGCGCTCCAGGAACAGGGTTGGAGTGAACACCTACAGGAGGGTAGGTCTCCAGGAACAGGGTTGGAGTGAACACCTAGAGAAGGGTAGGTCTCCAGGAACAGGGTTGGAGTGAACCTACAGGAGGGTAGGTCTCCAGGAACAGGGTTGGAGTGAACCTACAGGAGGGTAGGTCTTCAGGAACAGGGTTGGAGTGAACCTACAGGAGGGTAGGTCTCCAGGAACAGGGTTGGAGTGAACCTACAGGAGGGTAGGTCTTCAGGAACAGGGTTGGAGTGAACCTACAGGAGGGTAGGTCTCCAGGAACAGGGTTGGAGTGAACACCTAGAGGAGAGTAGGTCTCCAGGAACAGGGTTGGAGTGAACCTACAGGAGGGTAGGTCTTCAGGAACAGGGTTGGAGTGAACCTACAGGAGGGTAGGTCTCCAGGAACAGGGTTGGAGTGAACCTACAGGAGGGTAGGTCTCCAGGAACAGGGTTGGAGTGAACACCTAGAGAAGGGTAGACTCATTATAGTTCACCAGGGCCTGTACATCATTTCTATTTGTTTGGATACATGCGTGTTCAACAGGGTTAACACCTAATAAGTACCTTTTATTCTTTCCATCCCAGGGTCAGCTGTCTGTGTCTGGGATGGTTGACCCCTCCTCCAGCCCCCTGGGGGCCACATCCACTGAGGACTCTGACGAAGAGGATGATGAGGACGACGAGGACTCGGACCTAGATGACTGGGAGCCTAGCGCGCCACAGTCCTTCACACCACACAACCTCTGTGAGTGTCTTTACCTCCCTGGTGACGGGGCCTTCTGGGCGTCTACTAGGGACAGGACCAATAGTGCTCTGTGTTAATACTGACAGTTAAATATGAGAATGAAGCCATTCTCTCTCTGTTTTCTGCCTCTCTCTGTCTTGGACCCACTCCATCTGGGATTCTGGGACCCTCACTGACATACTTTCATTCTCTCCTTTCTAACCTCTCTCCCTCCCTCTCCTCCTTCAAACCTCTCTCCTCCCCTCCCCCCCCCCCCCTCTCCCCCCTTTTCCTCTCCCCCCCCCTCCCTTCCCCCTTTTCCCCCTCCCCCCCTCCCCCCCCTCTCTCCTTTCTAACCTCTCTCCCCTTTCTCCACTCTCCCCCCCCCCCTCCCCTCCTTCTCCTCTCTCCCCCCCCCTCCCCCCTTTTCTCCTTTCTCCCCTCCCCCCTCCCCTCCTTTAAAACCTCCTCCCCCCCCCCCTCCCCTCTACCCTTTCAACCCTCTTCCCCCCTCTCCCCTTTTTTTTAAAACCTCTCCCCCCTCCCCCTCTCTCCTTTCAAACCCCCCTTTCTCTCCCCCCTCCTCCCCCCCCCCCTCTCCTCCCTCTCTCTCCTTCAAACCTCCCCCCCCCCCCTCTCTCCTTTTAAACCTCTCCCCCCCCTCCCTCTCCTTTCTCCCCTTCTTCCCTCCCTCTCCCTTTCCACCCTCCCCCTCCCCCCTCTCCTTTCACCTTTTCCCCCCTCCCTCTCTCCCCTTTTCAACTCTTCTCCATCCCTCTCTCCCCTTTTCTACCCTCTCCCATCCCCTCTCCCTTTCTAACCTCTCTCCATCCCCTCTCTCCTTTTTAAACCCCTCCCTCCCCTCTCCTCCTTTCAAAAAACCTCTCCCCCCCCTCCCCCCCCCCCCTTTTTTCCCCTCCCTCTCCCTCTCTCTCTCCTTTCTAACCTCTTCCCCCCCCTCCCCCCTTTTTTCCCTAACCTCCTCCCCCCTTTCCCCTTTCTCCCCTCTCTCCCTCCCTCTCTCCATCCCCTCTCTCTCCTTTCTAACCTCTCTCCCTCCCTCTCTCTCCTTTCTAACCTCTCCCCTCCCCCCCTCCTTTCTAACCTCTCTCCCTCCCTCTCTCCTTTCTAACCTCTCTCCCCCCTCTCTCTTCCTTCAACCTCCTCCCTCCCTCTCTCTCCTTTCTAACCTCTCTCCCTCCCTCTCTCTCCTTTCTAACCTCTCTCTCCTTTCTAACCTCTCTCCCTCCTCTCTCTCAGGGTGTGAGGAGTGTAACAACTCCAACCCGTCAGTGTGTGTGAAGCACGGTGCCCTCCACCCCATCCCCAACCGTCCAGTGGTCTCCCGGGCCCGTGCCAGCCTCCCCCTCATTCTCTACATAGACCGCTTCCTAGGGGGAGTCTTCTCCAAGAGACGCATCCCCAAGAGGACCCAGTTCGGCCCCGTGGAGGGACCCCTGGTCAGACAGGGAGAACTTCACGACCACTACATCCACCTCAAGGCAAGTTAACCTCTCTGTTTGCTTTCTAGAATAATAATAATAATAAGGTGCAGCTATAGCCTGTATACTTTAATGTCTTATCAAATGGTTCCCTTGTGGGAAATTATCAAATGGTTCCCTTGTGGGAAATGATCAAATGGTCCCCTTGTGGGAAATGATGAAATGGTCCCCTTGTGGGAAATGATGAAATGGTCCCCTTGTGGGAAATGATCAAATGATCCCCTTGTGGGAAATGATCAAATGGTCCCCTTGTGGGAAATGATCAAATGGTCCCCTTGTGGGAAATGATGAAATGGTCCCCTTGTGGGAAATGATGAAATGGTCCCCTTGTGGGAAATTATCAAATGGTCCCCTTGTGGGAAATGATCAAATGGTCCCCTTGTGGGAAATGATCAAATGGTCCCCTTGTGGGAAATGATCAAATGGTCCCCTTGTGGGAAATGATCAAATGGTCCCCTTGTGGGAAATGATCAAATGGTCCCCTTGTGGGAAATGATCAAATGTAGTTGTTCCTGACTATATATTAGTTCCTGACTATATACTGTGCTGTTCTTGCCTACAGTGGCTTGCGAAAGTATTCACCCCCCTTGGCATTTTTCCTATTTTGTTGCCTTACAATCTGGAATTAAAATTGATTTTTGGGGGGTTTGTATCATTTGATTTACACAACATGCCTACCACTTTGAAGATGCAAAATATTTTTTTTGTGTGAAACAAACAAGAAATAAGACAAGAAAAACAGAACTTGAGCGTGCATAACTATTCACCCCCCCAAAGTCAATACTTTGTAGAGACACCTTTTGCAGAAATTACAGCTGCAAGTCTCTTGGGGTATGTCTCTATAAGCTTGGCACATCTAGCCACTGGGATTTTTGCCCATTCTTCAAGGCAAAACTGTTCCAGCTCCTTCAAGTTGGATGGGTTCCGCTGGTGTACAGCAATCTTTAAGTCATACCACAGATTCTCAATTGGATTGAGGTCTAAGCTTTGACTAGGCCATTCCAATACATTTAAATGTTTCCCCTTAAACCACTCAAGTGTTGCTTTAGCAGTATGCTTAGGGTCATTGTCCTGCTGGAAGGTGAACCTCCGTCCCAGTCTCAAATCTCTGGAAGACTGAAACAGCTTTCCCTAAATAATTTCCCTGTATTTAGCGCCATCCATCATTCCTTCAATACTGACCAGTTTCCCAGTCGCTGCCGATGGAGAAACATCCCCACAGCAGGATGCTGCCACCACCATGCTTCACTGTGGGGATGTTGTTCTCGGGGTGATGAGAGGTGTTGGGTTTGCGCCAGACATAGCGTTTTCCTTGATGGCCAAAAAGCTCAATTTTAGTCTCATCTTCCATATGTTTGGGGAGTCTCCCACATGGCTTTTGGCAAACACCAAACATGTTTGCTTATTTTTTTCTTTAAGCAATGGCTTTTTTCTGGCCACTCTTCCGTAAAGCCCAGCTCTGTGGAGTGTACGGCTTAAAGTGGTCCTAGGGACAGATACTCCAATCTCCGCTGGTCTTGGAGAGTGTCTCGCTGGTTTGGGCGGGGTGTCTGCTGATCAAATGTTCCTGAGGTGTTGGGTCTGCGGTTGAGGGCGAAATCCTTTAGGGTCCGGGCGAAGGTGGGCACTGCTGCCTTGTATAGGTGGACCTGGTCGTAAAGGCTGTTCACGTCCAGGGTGGAGTGGTGGGCCAGGTAGACGTTTAGTTTTGATGCACAGTCACGGGAAATACTTGCGTTTACCTGCAGTATGGTAGCAGGGTGGAAGTATTTTCGTGGGTAGCAGGGTGGAGATAACCACTTGTGCGTTGGGGAAAGTAGAAGAAGCTTTTTCTATCACTCCCTTGAGTGATGTGGCCACCCTTTCCTGCTGTGTTCTCAGGTCGTTTGTGCCTGTGTATATTATTATGTGGCTGGGTGATCCTAGTTGGTCCTCAGACAGAAGATCTAGGGCGCGCTGGGTGTTTGGACACCAGAGTTTAGACACTGTGTTTGTTTTCTTGTATGTATTTCCCGTTTGAATCCATAAGGAGTACAATCTGTGGCTTGTGTATGTCCTCAGTGGGTGTGGAGGGGTCGTCAGGAGGGCTATCAGGGTGGCTGACAGGGGGGGTGCTCAGAGGGGGTGGGATCCCCTGGGCTTGGGGTTCTTCATTTGTTTGTCTGGCTGTGATGTCGAGGCTATGGTCAGGGTCTGAGGTGGGCTGTTCTGCTGGCTTCTCTGCGGGGGTGGCCAGCTCTCTAATGGGTTGTTCTCTGTCACCCGTCATCGTTCTCACCTTCTCCTCCAGCACTATGATCCTCTCCTCTAGTGCTCTGTTCTTCTCCTGCTCCTGCTCCTGTTGATGTTGTCTCACCACAGTCCAGAGTTCAGACATGTCTCTCTCTACCTGCAGCTCTCCAGGTCTAGTTAAGGGGGTGTTGTTGTGCTGGACTGCTGTCTAGTATCCTGAGTTTCCTCCAATCGCTAACACCCCACCTCTTAACAGAGGGGTAGTGTGTTAATATAGCGCTGTGCCATGCCAGGGGATGGTCTGTGTGGAAGATAAGGTTGCTTATGTTCCCATTTTTATAAAAGTCAGCAAAAAGTGTCTCCTGATTTCCCATAAGGAGTTTCATTTTGTACTCTTTTCGTGTCTTATCATTCTTTACATTCAGAGAGTACTGTATTTTAATGACCTCTGAACAGTGGGGGGGTGCTTCTAAGGCCTCTCCATTTGGTTGGGGTAGACTGTACGACTCTCCTGCCATTGTTGGGCTCAAGGGCTTTGACACCTCTCACTTCACACGTCAGTGCTAATTGAAGTTGTATCTCTTTGTACTAACAAGCTTGGTAGCCTTAGCATTCAGTCCTTATAAAATAAAATATATCATTATAATGTATTTTTCTTCTTGTTTTTTAAAAGTAAAAAATAGCTTCGGACTAAACATTACCCACTCAGTTCCAGGTTGGATGGTAGTTTCAGTTTGTTTGCCAGAGCATTTGCTGTATAGCTTGGGATAGTAATCCTTGGTAGTAGAAGCCTACCAGGTAATTCCATCCAAAATCAGGTTGTAGGTTTGGACTTTTGGTTTGGATTGAAGGTTATATTTACATTTTACATTTTTAGTCATTTAGCAGACGCTCTTATCCAGAGCGACTTACAGGAGCAATTAGGGTTAAGTGCCTTGCTCAAGGGCACATCGACAGAGCTTTAACCTAGTCGGCTCGGGGATTAGAACCAGCAACCTTTCGGTTACTGGCACAACGCTCTTAACCACTAAGCTACCTGCCGCCCCTGTGGAGGGTAGCATCCTGTATATGTCCCTGTGGAGGGTAGCATCCTGTATATGTCCCTGTGGAGGGTAGCATCCTGTATATGTCCCTGTGGAGGGTAGCATCCTGTATATGTCCCTGTGGAGGGTAGCTTCCTGTATATGTCCCTGTGGAGGGTAGCATCCTGTATATGTCCCTGTGGAGGGTAGCATCCTGTATATGTCCCTGTGGAGGGTAGCATCCTGTATATGTCCCTGCCAAAACATTGAAGTTTATCTAACTCTAAATCTATATGTTTTGTAAAAACATGTTGAAAAATGCAGGAGCAATGTCTTTGAGCTCTCTTTCTCTCTCCTCTCTCTCCTCTCTCTCCTCTCTCTCTGTAGCTGTGCATGGTCTCTAACTCATTTCTCTCTCCTCTCTCTCTGTAGCTGTGCATGCTGGATGCAGACAAGGACATGGAGAAGTCGGATGACATGTGGGTGGACCTATCTGACGAGGACATCTGTAATTGGCTGATGTTTGTTAGGCCCGCGCAGAACCACCTGGAACAGAACCTGGTAGCCTATCAGTACGGCTCTGAAATCTTCTACACAACCATCAAGAACATCCAGCCCAAACAGGAACTCAAGGTAGGCTAACCGTGTCCTCATCTAACCTAACCGTGTCCTCATCTAACCTAACCGTGTCCTCATCTAACCTAACCGTGTCCGAGATCATCACCGACTGAGCTAACTGATCTGCAAATTATAATCAGTAGTTATTATAATCAGTAGTTATTATAATCAGTAGTTATTATAATCTGTAGTTATTAGAATCTGTAGTTATTAGAATCTGTAGTTATTAGAATCTGTAGTTATTAGAATCTGTAGTTATTAGAATCAGTAGTTATTAGAATCTGTAGTTATTAGAATCAGTATTTATTGATGCAAGGTGATTTGTAGATTAGTCAGTCGTCAGTCACCGATTGCAATGTCTGGAACACACTGTTTCTAATGAAAACACACATGGTTGACTGCTCTCCAGAGAGGTATGCTACGTAGCAGGTCTATTCCAGAGAGGTATGCTAAGAGAGGTATGCTACGTGGCAGGTCTATTCCAGAGAGGTATGCTACGTGGCAGGTCTATTCCAGAGAGGTATGCTAAGAGAGGTATGCTACGTGGCAGGTCTATTCCAGAGAGGTATGCTAAGAGAGGTATGCTACGTGGCAGGTCTATTCCAGAGAGGCATACTACGTAGCAGGTATATTCCAGAGAGGTATGCTACGTAGCAGGTCTATTCCAGAGAGGTATACTACGTAGCAGGTCTATTCCAGAGAGGTATGCTACGTAGCAGGTCTATTCCAGAAAGGTATACTACGTAGCAGGTATATTCCAGAGAGGTATTCTACGTAGCAGGTATATTCCAGAGAGGTATACTACGTAGCAGGTATATTCCAGAGAGGTATTCTACGTAGCAGGTATATTCCAGAGAGGTATACTACATAGAGGGGTGGCTCACCTTTTAGCCAGGTACATTTCTATGGCAACGAATCCTTCAGAACTAACCTGCTTAATAACAAAATATTTAGCTGTGCGACCAGGAGTTTTATTTTGTGAGCACTGTGTGACTAGGAAAACAATCTCCCAGATGAAAATAGTTGTTGTAATGATAAGGCTGCGCTGTACCGTTGTTTCGGAGAGTGCTAAAGAAAGAAGCGAGTGCAGATTCGATAGCGTCATGGTTGCACCATTACTATAGCAAAAAACAGCTTGCTTTGTAGCCCCCTACCAGGTTCTGTTATCTGACTCATATTACCGGAGCAACATTTTCATCTTCCAGGACCATTTTACATTCATAAACGTGTTGTGGGCCGTTCCAAAACTAATTGCACGTCATTAACCATTTGTTTACACTTTTGTTTAGTCTGAGCCACGAGTTATTGGCTAGCTAACTCACAGCCTGGGAACTTGACCAGTACATAACAGACAGAAAGGAAAATGGATATGTTCTCCAGGAGATCAACGATCACAGCAATGAATGAATCACAGATCTCTTGCATGTTGTCATCACAAACCTGATTTTTTTTTTTTTTTTTAAAGAGGCAGTGTACCATTTTCAATGTAATTCATCTCAATAGGAAAATGGTGCTTTTACACAATGTAGAAAACGAATATTCCACAAATGACTTTGTAATGTCAATGACAGGTATTCGTATCAACATTTTAGCTTTTATATAATAAACTGTCTTTACAGTGTCACATATTAGTTTCTAGGGTACAACATGTGCTTCAAAAGTAGCTAGAATTCAATATAGGCCCAATATAGGCTGTATCTAAAAAAAACATCTGGTGCTTCTACATTTTGTGTGGTGCTCCTAACTTTTTTAAGTTGGGAGCACCAGTGCTACCGATTGTTTAAATTTATTTTTAGTTTAGAGCGCTGGTTACAAGCCTGCTAGAGTTAGCAGCAGGCGGACGAGCAATGTCCACCGTCGTCGTACGGATGAAGCCTGAGCTGGAATGGGAAGCTAACTGACGCCGGTTAGCTGTAGAAAACAACTGAGTAGATCTAGCTTGCGTCGTGGGATACCCCTCAGAGCACATTATTATAAGGAGCTGGAGTTTGTCCTGACTGTGTTTTGTTCTTTTCCCCAGGTGTGGTACGCAGCATCATATGCCGAGTTTGTCAATCAGAAGATCCATGATGTCACGGATGAGGAGAGGAAAGGTGAGACTCCATGCTTCATTGCTGTGGAACTGTAGCCCTGTCTATGATAGCAGTGATGATGATCTCCATCCTAATGTTGTCTCTGCAGTGCTGTGGAGTATGTCAGTACTGCAGTGCCTTCAGGAAGTATTCATACCCCTTGAGAAATCAGCACAATGTGGAATAACTCCTCACCCATAATGACAAAGTGAAAATATGGTTTTAGAAATTGTAGCAAATTTATTGAAAATGAAATACAGAAATATATTTTTTACTGTATTCACACCTCTTTTCTATAACACTCCAAATTGAGCTCCAGTGCATCCTGTTTCCTTTGATAGTCCTTGATGTCACTACAACTTTGATAGGAGTCCACACCTGTCTATATAAGGTCCCACAGTCTATATAAGGTTGACAGTGCATGTCAGAGCAGAAACTATATCTGGGGAAGTGTATAAAACAATTTCTAGAGTGTTGAAAGTTTCCAAGAGCACAGTGGTCTCCATCACTGGGAAATTGAAAAAATGTGGAACTACCCAGACTGCCTAGAGCTGGCCGTCTGACCAAACTGAACAACCGGGCAAGAAGGACCTTGGTCAGGGAGGTGACCAAGAACCCAATGACCACTCTGACAGAACTACAGAGTTCCTTGGCTGAGATGGGAGAACCTGCCAGAAGGACAACAGTCTCTACAGCACTTCACCAATCTGGGCTTCATGGGTGAGTGGCCAGACGGAAGCCACTCCTGAGAAAAAGGCACATGACAGCACGCCTGGAGTTTGCAAAAAGGCATGTGAAAGACTCTGAGAGCATAAGGCAAAAGATTATGTGGTCTGATGAGACAAAAATGTAACTTTGGGCCTCAATGCAAAGCACTATGTCTGGAGAAAACCAGGCACAGCTCATCACCCGTCTAACACCATCCCTACCGTGAAGCATGGTGCGGGATGCTTTTCATCGGCAGGGACTGGGAAACTGGGAAACTGGTAAGGATAGAGGGGAACAATGAATGGAGCCAAATACAGAGCACCTGCTTCAGAGTGCAAACAACCTTAGACTGGGGCGAAGATTTACGTTCCAACAGGACAAAGACCCCAAGCATACAGCCAAAGCAATGCTGGAATGGCTTCAGAACTAGAATGTGAAACTCCTTGAGTGGCCCAGCCAAAGCCCAGAATTGAATCTCATTGGAAATCTGTGAAAAGACTTGAAGATTGCTGTTCACCGCCGCTCCCCCATCTAATTTAACAGAGCTTGAGAAAATCCTCAAATCCAGATGTGCAAAGCTGAAACCGACACACCCAAGACGACTCAAAGCTGAAACCGACACACCCAAGACGACTCAAAGCTGAAACCGACACACCCAAGACGACTCAAAGCTGAAACCGACACACCCAAGACGACTCAAAGCTGAAACCGACACACCCAAGATGACTCAAAGCTGAAACCGACACACCCAAGACGACTCAAAGCTGAAACCGACACACCCAAGACGACTCAAAGCTGAAACCGACACACCCAAGACGACTCAAAGCTGAAACCGACACACCCAAGACGACTCAAAGCTGAAACCGACACACCCAAGACGACTCAAAGCTGAAACCGACACACCCAAGACGACTCAAAGCTGAAACCGACACACCCAAGACGACTCAAAGCTGAAACCGACACACCCAAGACGACTCAAAGCTGAAACCGACACACCCAAGACGACTCAAAGCTGAAACCGACACACCCAAGACGACTCAAAGCTGAAACCGACACACCCAAGACGACTCAAAGCTGAAACCGACACACCCAAGACGACTCAAAGCTTTAATCGCCGCCAAAGATGCTTCAACAAAGTAGATGCACTGTATATATTCTGTTTTGTTTGCTGTGATGTGGTCTTACCTGTCTGTGTGTGTGTAGCCTTGTCTATGATAGCAGTGATGTTTTCTATGGGTCCTGATTTCTCTACTCTACTGTGGTTGTTTGTTTCAGTTACTGCAGGGTTGATTTTAAATCCTAATGTTTCATCTGCTGTGCCAGGCTTCGATACTGCGACCAAAACAGTAGAATTTGCGACCGTTTGACTTGGCAGTGCGACACACGTTTTTAATTGTTCGCAAGGGTGTCAGTGTTTTTTTTTTCTTCTTCTTATTTTTTTTAACCTGGTCACGTTATTAAAAATTAAATGTATCATGCTTTATTCAAACAGTAATGTGCAACTGCCAAAAAAGAAACTAACTTTCTGAAGAGGCAGCAACGACACGGCAATGCCCCGTCTGTGTGTGCCAGGACATAGCCTACAGGGGACGTTTTGGAAACCCCCATTTCCTTTCATCTAGGCTCTTCAATAGTCATCGACGTTGGCAGCCGATTTTTAAAAAATAGTTTTACTGCTCCAAAATAATTATTCTGTGATTTTCATTTCTGATCAGTTTGTTTTCCCACCATTTCAGTTGAAGGGTGTTGCGCTAGTCTGTTGCGGTAAAACCATGTGTGGTTATTATGAGTAAGACAACATCAAATGTTGGCTTCAACTTGGTTTTCCATACAAAGCGTTCCATTACAAAGGGAACCCGGTTTTTGGTCACTTTCTCATTTTAAAACATGATACAAAAACCCCTCGACAACTCTTCAACATCTCAAATGGCGAGACTGACTAGCTACCACATGGACAGACTTCATTAGTGTGTTTGTGTTGGGAGCAGGCTGAGATTGTCGATGCGTAATGCCGCTGGGTAGCCTCGATGCGTAATGCCGCTGGGTAGCCTCGATGCGTAATGCCACTGGGTAGGCCTCGATGCGTAATGCCACTGGGTAGGCCTCGATGCGTAATGCCGCTGGGTAGGCCTCGATGCGTAATGCCGCTGGGTAGCCTCGATGCGTAATGCCGCTGGGTAGCCTCGATGCGTAATGCCACTGGGTAGGCCTCGATGCGTAATGCCGCTGGGTAGCCTCGATGCGTAATGCCGCTGGGTAGCCTCGATGCGTAATGCCGCTGGGTAGCCTCGATGCGTAATGCCGCTGGGTAGCCTCGATGCGTAATGCCGCTGGGTAGCCTCGATGCGTAATGCCGCTGGGTAGCCTCGATGCGTAATGCCGCTGGGTAGGCCTCGATGCGTAATGCCGCTGGGTAGCCTCGATGCGTAATGCCGCTGGGTAGGCCTCGATGCGTAATGCCGCTGGGTAGCCTCGATGCGTAATGCCGCTGGGTAGCCTCGATGCGTAATGCCACTGGGTAGGCCTCGATGCGTAATGCCGCTGGGTAGGCCTCGATGCGTAATGCCGCTGGGTAGGCCTCGATGCGTAATGCCGCTGGGTAGGCCTCGATGCGTAATGCCGCTGGGTAGCCTCGATGCGTAATGCCACTGGGTAGGCCTCGATGCGTAATGCCACTGGGTAGGCCTCGATGCGTAATGCCGCTGGGTAGGCCTCGATGCGTAATGCCGCTGGGTAGCCTCGATGCGTAATGCCGCTGGGTAGCCTCGATGCGTAATGCCGCTGGGTAGGCCTCGATGCGTAATGCCGCTGGGTAGCCTCGATGCGTAATGCCGCTGGGTAGCCTCGATGCGTAATGCCGCTGGGTAGCCTCGATGCGTAATGCCGCTGGGTAGGCCTCGATGCGTAATGCCGCTGGGTAGGCCTCGATGCGTAATGCCGCTGGGTAGCCTCGATGCGTAATGCCGCTGGGTAGGCCTCGATGCGTAATGCCGCTGGGTAGGCCTCGATGCGTAATGCCGCTGGGTAGCCTCGATGCGTAATGCCGCTGGGTAGGCCTCGATGCGTAATGCCGCTGGGTAGGCCTCGATGCGTAATGCCGCTGGGTAGGCCTCGATGCGTAATGCCGCTGGGTAGCCTCGATGCGTAATGCCGCTGGGTAGCCTCGATGCGTAATGCCGCTGGGTAGCCTCGATGCGTAATGCCGCTGGGTAGGCCTATTAAAATGTATTATTGCATACATTTTGGGGGAGTTTTTTTTTCTTTCTATAGGCTATTACAACAACTAAATATAAAACTTAGGTCCTTGAAAATGTATAATTAAGTGCTTGACAAAGTCTTTGAATTTGACATTTGCCAATGTCTGTACGAACCCTGTAGGCTATAGGCTACTTGCTCAGCCCGCAAATGAAAGACCAAATCACCTGCTATTGTAATGATGCATTATACGTTTTCCTGTAAGATCTTGACCCTGATGTACCTGAATGTCGAGCCATGCTGTGTGCGTAGGGCCTGGATGTCTACCACTTTGTGTAGCCGTTAGCGACGTTAATGAGACCCTAACCGTTTCTGGGGTAGATGGAAAGGCATGCTATGCTATGCCTACCTGGAAGAATCATGATCAATCCAGTGGCCAATTATTTTGAAAACTCTTTTATCACAAGTGTGCTACAGAAACGCCGCTACCCAAACACAACTGTCTGGCTGAATGAAAGGGTATCTACACAAATAAATCAACATTTCTCAGATTTTACCCAGACCTCAAACCAAAGTTTTTTTATTTTTTATTATTATTATTATATATATATATATATATATTTGTTGGTCCTCTGTAGCTCAGCTGGTAGACCACGGCGCTTGTAACGCCAAGGTAGTGGGTTCGATCCCCGGGACCACCCATACACAAAAAAAAAAATATGCACGCATGACTGTAAGTCGCTTTGGATAAAAGCGTCTGCTAAATGGCATATTATTATTATTATTATTATTATTATTATTATTATTTATTAAAATGTGTGATTTGGAAAAAACTGGGAGAAAAATAAAAACTGGGGGAAATCAGTCTTCCCCTTTTTATATAATATGCCATTTAGCAGACGCTTTTATTCAAAGTGACTTACAGTCATGTGTGCATAAATGTTTACGTATGGGTGGTCCCGGGGATCGAACACACTACCCTGGCGTTACAAGCGCCGTGCTCTACCAGCTGAGCTACAGAGGACCCTTTTTTCTTATTTTGTCTTATTTTTTTGCGTTTGTTTTGGTATCAAGTAAAACCTTTTCTAATTATGCCCTCTAGAGGACTTTGTAGAAAAGAACACATGGAACTGAAATATGCAATAAATACATTTTGCCCTTTATTTGAACTTTATTGAACTGTGTTTCTTTGCTGTTACAGTAAATCTATCCAAATCAATATAAGAACACAAGGGCATGCTAATTTAAAAGATGGCTAGTCATTATTAGCCTGGTTCTGTATGGAATGCAGGGACATTATGGAATGCAGGGACATTATGGAATGCAGGGACATTATGGAATGCAGGGACATTATGGAATGCAGGGACATTATGGAATGCAGGGACATTATGGAATGCAGGGACATTATGGAATGCAGGGACATTATGGAATGCAGGCCAGGTTATTATCAATTCTAAAAGATATTATAAAACAATTGGTGCGAATCAAATCATGTGCTAGTGCCACCAGTGGAGAATTTAGTGTATAACATGTTTTATAATGAGTGTAGACCCCTGACTGTGGTCTCGTTGTGTTTTCAGTGTTACGCGAGCAGGAGAAGAACTGGCCGTGTTATGAGTGCAACCGACGCTTCATGAGTTCAGAACAGCTGCAGCAGCACCTCAACATGCACGATGACAAACTGGACTACGTCACCAGGTAACACGCACGATGACAAACTGGACTACGTCACCAGGTAACACGCACGATGACAAACTGGACTACGTCACCAGGTAACACGCACGATGACAAACTGGACTACGTCACCAGGTAACACGCACGATGACAAACTGGACTACGTCACCAGGTAACACGCACGATGACAAACTGGACTACGTCACCAGGTAACACGCACGATGACAAACTGGACTACGTCACCAGGTAACACGCACGATGACAAACTGGACTACGTCACCAGGTAACACGCACGATGACAAACTGGACTACGTCACCAGGTAACACGCACGATGACAAACTGGACTACGTCACCAGGTAACACGCACGATGACAAACTGGACTACGTCACCAGGTAACACGCACGATGACAAACTGGACTACGTCACCAGGTAACACGCACGATGACAAACTGGACTACGTCACCAGGTAACACGCACGATGACAAACTGGACTACGTCACCAGGTAACACGCACGATGACAAACTGGACTACGTCACCAGGTAACACGCACGATGACAAACTGGACTACGTCACCAGGTAACACGCACGATGACAAACTGGACTACGTCACCAGGTAACACGCACGATGACAAACTGGACTACGTCACCAGGTAACACGCACGATGACAAACTGGACTACGTCACCAGGTAACACGCACACACACACACAGTAGTCAACAGCTGAAATGCTTCGCTCACCTAGTCCCTGCAGTCTTCTCTTAGACCTGGAAAACAGAGTTTGTCAGAATTTGGTAAAAAATGTGTTTTGTAAAAAGCATAATTGATTGATTTAATTGAATGATTGATTGATCGATCGATCGAGGGATTGACTTTAACCTGTGTTTCTGCAGACCGAAGGGGCGTGCTCGTGGGCGTGGCAGGAAGAGGTTTGGGACAGGAAGGAGACCGGGTCGCCCCCCTAAATTCATCCGGTTGGACCCTTCGGTGGCCACGGCAGGGGACAAGACACCGGTACGTAGAACTGTGTAACAGTCATGGTTTACTTTTAGGCACACCGTCCCCTATTCCCTATGTAGTGCATTACTTTTAACCAGGGCCTGTAGTGCACTATGTTGGGTAAAGGGTGCCATTTGGGACACGTCAAAGAGTCCTAAGGTCCATAGACAAAAGGAGGGATAACACATCTCTGTCTCCACACTGATAGACCTGTATCTGAATGTCTCTGTCTCCATACTGATAGACCTGTATCTGAATGTCTCTGTCTCCATACTGATAGACCTGTATCTGAATGTCTCTGTCTCCATACTGATAGACCTGTATCTGAATGTCTCTGTCTCCATACTGATAGACCTGTATCTGAATGTCTCTGTCTCCATACTGATAGACCTGTATCTGAATGTCTCTGTCTCCATACTGATAGACCTGTATCTGAATGTGTGTGGTCACAGGAGCTGCTGGGGCTCGTAGGGAAGCTGCCCTATGAGGAGAGATCCGACGGTGCTCTGAACCATCTCAAGGTGGTAGAGCTGGAGGGGGAGGGGGAGGGGGAGGGGGGGTGGAGGGTTGGAGACAGAGGCACAACTAGACCCCCCTGGAGGGGACCTGGCCCCCGACACAGAAACAGACTCCCCACCCACCACCACCACCACCGACCCCCCCCTACCCCCCATCAAAGAGGACCCGTCCCAGAGCAGCGCCCCTGCCCCAGCAGAACCTCACCTCAGCCTCACCCCCCAGGACATTCGCCGGGCCAAGAGGATACGGGTAAGACTGGGGAGGGAGAGGCCCTGTGCTGTGTTCAGTAGCGAAATGGGAGAAAACTTTTGAAATGTAAAAGAAAAACATTCAGGTAGCAAAAAAAGTTTTCTCCTGTTTAGTGCCGACTGAACGCCACCCTGGTCTGTAGTGTTATCAGTAGTCATGCAGCCCTGGTCTGTAGTGTTACCAGTAGTCATGCAGCCCTGGTCTGTAGTGTTACCAGTAGTCATGCAGCCCTGGTCTGTAGTGTTACCAGTAGTCATGCAGCCCTGGTCTGTAGTGTTACCAGTAGTCATGCAGCCCTGGTCTGTAGTGTTACCAGTAGTCATGCAGCCCTGGTCTGTAGTGTTACCAGTAGTCATGCAGCCCTGGTCTGTAGTGTTATCAGTAGTCATGCAGCCCTGGTCTGTAGTGTTATCAGTAGTCATGCAGCCCTGGTCTGTAGTGTTACCAGTAGTCATGCAGCCCTGGTCTGGTAGTGTTACCAGTAGTCATGCAGCCCTGGTCTGTAGTGTTATCAGTAGTCATGCAGCCCTGGTCTGTAGTGTTATCAGTAGTCATGCAGCCCTGGTCTGTAGTGTTACCAGTAGTCATGCAGCCCTGGTCTGTAGTGTTATCAGTAGTCATGCAGCCCTGGTCTGTAGTGTTATCAGTAGTCATGCAGCCCTGGTCTGTAGTGTGTTACCAGTAGTCATGCAGCCCTGGTCTGTAGTGTTATCAGTAGTCATGCAGCCCTGGTCTGTAGTGTTACCAGTAGTCATGCAGCCCTGGTCTGTAGTGTTATCAGTAGTCATGCAGCCCTGGTCTGTAGTGTGTTACCAGTAGTCATGCAGCCCTGGTCTGTAGTGTGTTACCAGTAGTCATGCAGCCCTGGTCTGTAGTGTTATCAGTAGTCATGCAGCCCTGGTCTGTAGTGTGTTACCAGTAGTCATGCAGCCCTGGTCTGTAGTGTTATCAGTAGTCATGCAGCCCTGGTCTGTAGTGTTACCAGTAGTCATGCAGCCCTGGTCTGTAGTGTTATCAGTAGTCATGCAGCCCTGGTCAGTAGTGTTATCAGTAGTCATGCAGCCCTGGTCTGTAGTGTTATCAGTAGTCATGCAGCCCTGGTCAGTAGTGTTATCAGTAGTCATGCAGCCCTGGTCTGTAGTGTTACCAGTAGTCATGCAGCCCTGGTCTGTAGTGTTATCAGTAGTCATGCAGCCCTGGTCTGTAGTGTTATCAGTAGTCATGCAGCCCTGGTCAGTAGTGTTATCAGTAGTCATGCAGTGTATAGAGGCCTAGTCTTGACAACAGTATATTTCTCTCTCTCATCTTAATGCCTTGCCCCTCAAAGATGGACGTGCAGGTAGGTTGGGGCTTGGAGGATGGAAGGGTAGCTGTTATCTCCATGGTGTTCACGTGACATCTGAGCAAACCGTAGGCCTGCTCCATCCTCCATTTCTGTGGCCATGAAAAACTCCTGGACCTATCCATTACATCTGTCCAGTCCTCCCTGCTTCAGTGGAATGCTTTTCAGAGTCTGTGCTCTGTTTTATGTAGAAACCCAAGTTGTCTATTCAAAGCGTTGTGTCCTCTCTCCTCCTCCAGAATGCGGCCCTGCAGCACCTGTTCATCAGGAAGTCGTTCCGGCCCTTTAAGTGTACCCACTGTGGTAAGGCCTTCAGAGACCAGGACAAGCTGGAGATCCACCTGAGAGTCCATGGCCGTGACGCCTACCTGTCCTGTCATCACTGCAGTACGGGACTCCTTCCTGTTTTTAAACACTCTGTCCGCATCCCAAATGGAACCCTAAATAGTGCAGTGAACTACGTTTTGACCAGAGCCCATAAAGGGGCACCTATAAGGTTTATATCCTGTGAAGACAAAAGACACTACAGTTTCTGTTTTTTCTTCTTCTTCTGCTTAAGATAAGGGTTTCCTGTCCCACGGTGCGTTGGAGGACCATCTCCTGCTTCACTCAGAGCACCGGACCTACTCCTGTCTGTTCTGCACCGACACCTTTGATCGCCTGGACCTGCTGAAAGAACATGTGGGAGGACATGCTGTAAACGGGTGCTTTATATGTCCCTCCTGCAAGAAGGTCTTCACCGACTTCATACAGGTTAGAGATTGTGATATCCCTGTTATCCATACACACACACACACACACACACACACACACACACACACACACACACACAGTCTTCAGACTTCACACTGAGTGTACAAAATATTAAGAACACCTTCGTAATATTGAGTGGCACCCCCTTGTGCCCTCAGAACAGCCTCAATTCGTCAGGGCATGGGACTCTACAAGGTGTCAAAACGTTCCACAGGGATGCTGACCCATGTTGACTCCAATGCTTCCCACAGTTGTGCCAAATTGGCTGGACGTCCTTTAGGTGGTCGACCATTCTTGATACACGGGAAACTGTTGAGCGTGAAAAACCCAGCGGCGTTATAATTCTTGACACAAACTGGTGCTCCTGGCACCTACTACCATACCCCGTTCAAAGGCACTTCTATCTTTTGTCTTGCCCATTCACCCTCTGAATGGCACACACACAATCCCCATGTCTCAGTTGTCTCAAGGATTTAAAATCCTTCTTTAACCTGTCTCCTCCCCTTCATCTACACTGATTTAAAGTAGATTTAATCGGTGACATCAATAAGGGATCATATCTTTCACCTGGATTCACCTGGTCAGTCTGTCAATGTTTTGGACACTCAGTGTATAGATGCCGTGCACTCTCCTCTCCTCTCCTCTCCAATCCTCTCCTCTCCTCTCCTCTCCTCTCCTCTCCTCTCCTCTCCTCTCCTCTCCTCTCCTCTCCTCTCCTCTCCTCTCCTCTCCTCTCCTCTCCTCTCCTCTCCTCTCCTCTGATCCCCCTGTAGATGGCAATGGGCGGCAGGTAGCTCAGTGGTTAAGAGCGTTGTGCCAGTAACCGAAAGGTCGCTGGTTCTAATCCCCGAGCCGACTAGGTGAAAAATCTGTCGATGTGCCCTTGAGCAAGGCACTTAACCCTAATTGCTCCTGTAAGTCGCTCTGGATAAGAGCGTCTGCTAAATGACATAAATGTAATGTGTTTTCAGTCATCTTTACCTGATCAAATTATAGCCACTCTGTCCTAATCAATGAACCAATCAGTAGACGGTACGACAACACTCAATGGGCATGGGCCTGTAAGTGGTCTCCCTAACTCCCTCCTGGTCTCGTCTCTCCACCAGGTGAAGAAACATGTTCGTAGCTTCCACTCTGAGAAGATCTTCCAGTGTTCAGACTGCGACAAGGCCTTCTGCCGGCCTGACAAGCTACGGCTCCACATGCTGCGGCACAGCGACCGCAAAGACTTCCTCTGCTCCACCTGTGGAAAGCAGTTTAAGGTGAGATGAGTGTGTGGGAGCGTGTGTTTTTTTGATTGTTTGTATTTGTATTTATTATGGATCCCCATTAGTTCCTGCCAAGGCAGCAGCTACTCTTCCTGGGGTTTATTATGGATCCCCATTAGTTCCTGCCAAGGCAGCAGCTACTCTTCCTGGGGTTTATTATGGATCCCCATTAGTTCCTGCCAAGGCAGCAGCTACTCTTCCTGGGGTTTATTATGGATCCCCATTAGTTCCTGCCAAGGCAGCAGCTACTCTTCCTGGGGTTTATTATGGATCCCCATTAGTTCCTACCAAGGCAGCAGCTATTCTTCCTGGGGTTTATTATGGATCCCCATTAGTTCCTGCCAAGGCAGCAGCTATTCTTCCCGGGGTCCAGCAAAATTAAGGCAGTTATACAATTTTAAAAACATTACAATACATTCATAACAGATTTCACAACATATTAAGTGTGTGCCCTCAGGCCTCTACTCTACTACCACATATCTATAACACAAAATCCATGTGTACGTGTGTGTGTATAGTGCGTATGTTATCGTGTGTGTGTATGCATGTGTCTATGTTTGTGTTGCTTCACAGTCCCCACTGTTCCATAAGGTGTATTTTTATCTGTTTTACTGGGTTTTAGGGTTTTATCTACTTTTACTGCTGGCATGAGTTACTTGATGTGGAATGGAGTTCCATGTAGTCATGGCTCTATGTAGTACTGTGCGCCTCCCATAGTCTGTTCTGGACTTGGGGACTGTGAAGAGACCTCTGGTGGCATGTCTTGTGGGGTATGCATGGGTGTCTGTCATCCGCATACATAGACACTCTGGCTTTACTCAAAGCCAGTGCCATGTCATTAGTAAAGATTGAAAAAAGTAATGGGTCTAGACAGCTGCCCTGGGGAATTCCTGATTCTACCTGGATTATGTTGGAGAGGCTTCCATTAAAGAACACCCTCTGTGTTCTGTTAGACAGGTAACTCTTTATCCACATTATAGCAGGGGGTGTAAAGCCATAACACATACGTTTTTCCAGCAGCAGACTATGATCGATTAGGTCAAAAGTCGCACTGAAGTCTAACAAGACAGCCCCCACAATCTTTTTATCATCAGTTTCTCTCAGCCAATCATCAGTCATTTGTGTAAGTGCTGTGCTTGTTGAATGTCCTTCTCTATAAGCATGCTGAAAGTTTGTTGTCAATTTGTTTACTGTAAAATAGCATTGTATCTGGTCAAACACAATTTTTTCCAATAATTTACTAAGGGTTGGTAACAGGCTAATTGGTTGGCTATTTGAGCCAGTAAAGGGGGCTTTACTATTCTTAGGTAGCAGAATGACTTTAGCTTCCCTCCAGGCCTGAGGGCACACACTTTCTAGTAGGCTTAAATTGAAAATATGGCAAATAGGAGTGGCAATATCGTCCGCTATTAACCTCAGTAATTTTCCATCCAAGTTGTCAGACCCCAGTGGCTTGTCATTGTTAATAGACAACAATACTTTTTTCACCTGTTCCACACTCACTTTACGGAATTCAAAATTACAATGCTTGTCTTTCATAATTTGGTCAGATATACTTGGATGTGTAATGTCAGCGATTGTTGCTGGCATGTCATGCCTAAATTTGCTAATCTTGCCAATGAAAAAAGTATTGAAGTAGTTGGCAATATCAGTTGGTTTTGTGATGAATGAGCCATCTGATTCAATGAATGATGGAGCTGAGTTTGCCTTTTTTCCCAAAATGTCATTTAAGGCGCTCCAAAGCTTTTTACTATCATTCTTTATGTCATTTATCTTTGTTTCATAGTGTAGTTTCTTCTTCTTTTTATTCAGTTTAGATACATAATTTCTCAATTTGCAGTACGTTTACCAATCGGTTGTGCAGTGAGACTTATTTGCCATTGCTTTTGCCTCATCCCTCTCAACCATACCATTTTTCAATTCCTCATCAATCCACTGGGATTTAACAGTTGTTACAGTCATTTTCTTAATGGGTGCATGCTTATTAGTAACTGGAATAAGCAATTTCATAAATGTGTCAAGTGCAGCGTCTGGTTGCTCCTCATTACACACCACGGACCAACAAATATTCTTTACATCAACAACATAGGAATCACTACAAAACGCAGCTATATTGTGATCACTACATCCAATGGATTTGGATACTGCTTTCTCTCTGCAGCATTAGTAAAGATATGATCAATACATGTTGATGATTTAATTCCTGTACTGTTTGTAACTACCCTGGTAGGTTGACTGATAACCTGAACCAGGTTGCAGGCACTAGTTACAGTTTGAAGCTTTCTCTTGAGTGGGCAGCCTGATGAAAGCCAGTCCATATTTAATTCACCCAGAAAGAATACCTCTCTTTTGATATCACATACATTATCAAGCATTTCACACATGTTATCCAGATACTGACTGTTAGCACTTGGTGGTCTATAGCAGCTTCCCACCAGAATGGGCTTAGGTGAGGCAAATGAACCTGTAGCCATATTACTTCAACAGTATTTAACATGAGATCCTCTCTAATCTTCACAGGAATGTGGTTCTGAATATAAACAGCAACACCTCCACCATTGGCATTTCTATATTTTCTGTAAATGTTATAACCTTGTATTGCTACCACTGTATCATCAAAGGTATTATCTAAGTGAGTTTCAGAGATAGTCAGAATATGAATGTCATCTGTTATTAGCAAATTATTGATTTCATGAACCTTGTTTCTTATGCTACATACAGTTGAAGTCGGAAGTTTACATACACTTAGGTTGGAGTCATTAAAACTCGTCTTTCAACCACTCCACAAATTTCTTGTTAACAAAGTATAGTTTTGGCAAGTCGGTTAGGACATCTACTTTGTGCATGACACAAGTAATATTTCCAACAATTGTTTACAGACAGATTATTTCACTTATAATACACTGTATCACAATTCCAGTGGGTCAGAAGTTTACATACACTAAGTTGACTGTGCCTTTAAACCGCTTGGACAATTCCAGAAAATGATGTCATGGCTTTAGAAGCTTCTGATAGGCTAATTGACATAATTTGAGTCAATTGGAGGTGTACCAGTGGATGTATTTCAAGGCCTACCTTCAAACTCAGTGCCTCTTTGCTTGATATCATGGGAAAATCTAAAGAAATCAGCCAAGACCTTAGAAAACAATTTGTAGACCTCCACAAGTCTGGATCATCCTTGGGAGCAATTTCCAAACACCTGAAGGTACCACGTTCATCTGTACAAACAATAGTACGCAAGTATAAACACCATGGGACCACGCAGCCGTCATTCCGCTCAGGAAGGAGACGCGTTCTGTCTCCTAGAGATGAACGTACTTTGGTGCGAAAAGTGCAAATAAATCCCAGAACAACAGCAAAGGACCTTGTGAAGATGCTGGAGGAAACCGGTACAAAAGTATCTATATCCACAGTAAAACGAGTCCTATATCGAAATAACCGGAAAGGCCGCTCAGCAAGGAAGAAGCCACTGCTCCAAAACCACCATAAAAAAGCCAGACTACGGTTTGCAACTGCACATGGGGACAAAGGTTGTACTTTTTGGAGAAATGTCCTCTGGTCTGATGAAACAAAAATAGAACTGTTTGGCCATAATGACCATTGTTATGTTTGGAGGAAAAAGGGGGACGCTTGCGAACCGAAGAACACCATCCCAACCGTGAAGCACAGGGGTGGCAGCATCATGCTGTGGGGGTGCTTTGCTGCAGGAGGGACTGGTGCACTTCACAAAATAGATGGTATCATGAGGAAGGAAAATTATGTGGATATATTGAAGCAACATCTCAAGACATCAGTCAGGAAGATAAAGCTTGGTCGCAAATGGGTCTTCCAAATGGACAATGACCCCAAGCATACTTCCAAAGTTGTAGCAAAATGGCTTAAGGACAACAAAGTCAAGGTATTGGAGTGGCCATCACAAAGCCCTGACCTCAATCCTATAGAAAATGTGTGGGCAGAACTGAAAAAGCGTGTGCGAGCAAGGAGGCCTACAAACCTGACTCAGTTACACCAGCTCTGTCAGGAGGAATGGGCCAAAATTCACCCAACTTATTGTGGGAAGCTTGTGGAAGGCTACCCGAAATGTTTGACCCAAGTTAAACAATTTAAAGGCAATGCTACCAAATACTAATTGAGTGTACAGTGGGGAGAACAAGTATTTGATACACTGCCGATTTTGCAGGTTTTCCTACTTACAAAGCATGTAGAGGTCTGTAATTTTTATCATAGGTACACTTCAACTGTGAGAGACGGAATCTAAAACAAAAATCCAGAAAATCACATTGTATGATTTTTAAGTAATTAATTGCATTTTATTGCATGACATAAGTATTTGATCACCTACCAACCAGAAAGAATTCCGGCTCTCACAGACCTGTTAGTTTTTCTTTAAGAAGCCCTCCTGTTCTCCACTCATTACCTGTATTAACTGCACCTGTTTGAACTCGTTACCTGTATAAAAGACACCTGTCCACACACTCAATCAAACAGACTCCAACCTCTCCACAATGGCCAAGACCAGAGAGCTGTGTAAGGACATCAGGGATAAAATTGTAGACCTGCACAAGGCTGGGATGGGCTACAGGACAATAGGCAAGCAGCTTGGTGAGAAGGCAACAACTGTTGGCGCAATTATTAGAAAATGGAAGAAGTTCAAGATGACGGTCAATCACCTTCGGTCTGGGGCTCCATGCAAGATCTCACCTCGTGGGGCATCAATGATCATGAGGAAGGTGAGGGATCAGCCCAGAACTACACGGCAGGACCTGGTCAATGACCTGAAGAGAGCTGGGACCACAGTCTCAAAGAAAACCACTAGTAACACACTACGCCGTCATGGATTAAAATCCTGCAGCGCACGCAAGGTCCCCCTGCTCAAGCCAGCGCATGTCCAGGCCCGTCTGAAGTTTGCCAATGACCATCTGGATGATCCAGAGGAGGAATGGGAGAAGGTCATGTGGTCTGATGAGACAAAAATATATATTTTTGGTCTAAACTCCACTCGCCGTGTTTGGAGGAAGAAGAAGGATGAGTACAACCCCAAGAACACCATCCCAACCGTGAAGCATGGAGGTGGAAACATCATTCTTTGGGGATGCTTTTCTGCAAAGGGGACAGGACGACTGCACCGTATTGAGGGGAGGATGGATGGGGCCATGTATCGCGAGATCTTGGCCAACAACCTCCTTCCCTCAGTAAGAGCATTGAAGATGGGTCGTTGCTGGGTCTTCCAGCATGACAATGACCCGAAACACACAGCCAGGGCAACTAAGGAGTGGCTCCGTAAGAAGCATCTCAAGGTCCTGGAGTGGCCTAGCCAGTCTCCAGACCTGAACCCAATAGAAAATCTTTGGAGGGAGCTGAAAGTCCGTATTGCCCAGCGACAGCCCCGAAACCTGAAGGATCTGGAGAAGGTCTGTATGGAGGAGTGGGTCAAAATCCCTGCTGCAGTGTGTGCAAACCTGGTCAAGACCTACAGGAAACGTATGATCTCTGTAATTGCAAACAAAGGTTTCTGTACCAAATATTAAGTTCTGCTTTTCTGATGTATCAAATACTTATGTCATGCAATAAAATGCAAATTAATTACTTAATAATCATACAATGTGATTTTCTGGATTTTTGTTTTAGATTCCGTCTCTCACAGTTGAAGTGTACCTATGATAAAAATTACAGACCTCTACATGCTTTGTAAGTAGGAAAACCTGCAAAATCGGCAGTGTATCAAATACTTGTTCTCCCCACTGTATGTAAACTTCTGACCCACTGGGAATGTGATGAAAGAAATAAAAGCTGAAATAAATCATTCTCTCTACTATTACTCTGACATTTCACATTCTTAAAATAAAGTGGTGATCCTAACTGACCTAAAACAGGGAATTTTTACTAGGATTAAATGTCAAGAATTGTGAAAAACAGAGTTTAAATGTATTTGTCTAAGGTGTATGTAAACTTCCGACTTCAACTGTATGTAACGTGGGCTATTTTGAGCACTTTTCTTCTGGGATGCTTCTGTTTATTGCTTTACTGGGAAGCTTAGCAGCAGTAGATGTGCTCATGTTCTTTATGTTAGTGCAGGGTGAGCTGCACACAGTGGCCTTCCTCCTCGGGCACACCGGCTCAGTGCTAACAGTATCAATTTACATTTACATTTTAGTCATTTAGCAGACGCTCTTATCCAGAGTGACTTACAGGATCAATTAGGGTTAAGTGCCTTGCTCAAGGGCACATCGACAGATTTTTCACCTAGTCGGCTCGGGGAATAGAACCAGCGACCTTTCGGTTACTGGCACAACGCTCTTAACCACTAAGCTACCTGCTGGTTCTTAGGCACATGATCACTACACAACAGCTGCAGGATCAGCAGAGGCATTCAGGGCAGCTTGAGGGACATACATTAGGTTATTTATATTGCGTCTACTGACGCCCCTGGTGTAATGTACATTTGCTGAAGCGTTTTGACAACTCTGCGCCACAATGGTGTGGGTTTGTGTGTGGGTTTGTGTGGGAGCGTGTGTGTGTGGGAGCTCCACCTCTGGAAAACAGTTACGGAGCCTCAGTTGAGTGTACGGAGCCTCAGTTGAGTGTACGGAGCCTCAGTTGAGTGTACGGAGCCTCAGTTGAGTGTACAGTGCCTCAGTTGAGTGTATGGTGCTTGCTCTGCAGACGGTTGTGTGTGCTTCAGTCTTGTCAGTCTCTCACCCTCTCCTATCCTCTCTTTCTCTCTCACCTCTCCTATCGCTCTCTCCCCTCTCTCCCTAACCTCTCCCTCTCCTCTCTCCCTCACCTGTCCCTCTACGCTCTCCTCTGTCCTCCTCTCCCCCGCTCTCTCTCACCCTCACCTCTCTCTTCCCTCACCTCTCCCTCTCCTCTCTCTCCCTCACCTCTCTCCCCTCTCTCCCTCACCTCTCTCCCCTCTCTCCCTCACCTCTACTCTCTCCCCTCCCTCCCTCAACTCTCCCTCTCCTATCTCCCTCACCTCTCCTTTCTCCCCTCTCTCCTTCACCTCTCACTCACCTCTCCTATCTCCCTCTCCTCTCTCTCCCCTCTCTCCCTCTACGCTCTCCTCTCCTCTATCCTCTCTCCTCTATCCTCCTCACCTCTCTCTTCCCTCACCTCTCCCTCTCCTCACCTCTCCCTCTCCACACCTCTCCCTCTCCTCACCTCTCCCTCTCCTCACCTCTCTCCCTCCCTCCCCTACCTCTCTCCCTCCCCCTCACCTCTCTCCCTCACCTCTCCCTCTATACGCTCTCTCCCTCACCTCTCCTCTCCTCCCTCCCTCTCCTCTCCCTCTCCTCTTGTCCTTCTCCCCTCTCCTCTCCCCCCACGCCTCCCTCCCCTCAGCGGAAGGATAAACTGAGAGAGCACATGCAGCGTATGCACAACCCAGAGCGTGAGGCTAAGAAGGCGGACCGTATCCACCGCTCCAAGGCCCTGAAGCAGAAGGTTCCCACCACAGACTTGGAGAGCTTCATGTTCAAATGTCGCATGTGCATGATGGGCTTCAGACGCCGAGGTATGCTGGTGAGTACTGATACTGACTTATATATATATATATATATATATATCTGTGTGATTATATACACTACATGACCAAAAGTATGTGGACACCTGCTCGTCCAACATCTCATTCAAAATCATGGGCATTAATATGGAGTTGGTCCCCCCTTTGCTGCTATAACAGCCTCCACTCTTCTGGGAAGGCTTTCCGCTAGATGTTGGAACATCGCTTCGGGGACTTGCTTCCATTCAGCCACGAGCATTAGTGAAGCATTAGTCCTGGCTCGCAGTCGGCGTTCCAATTCATCCCAAAGGTGTTCGATAGGTTGAGGTCAGGGCTCTGTGCAGGCCAGTCAAGTTCTTCCACACCGATCTCGACCAACCATTTCTGTATGGACCTCGCTTTGTGCCCGGGGGCATTGTCATGCTGAAACAGGAAAGGGCCTTCCCCAAACTGTTGCCACAAAGTTGAAAGCGCAGAATCGTCTAGAATGTCATTGTATGCTGTAGCGTTAAGATTTCCCTTCACTGGAACTAAAGGGCCTAGCCCGAACCATGAAAAACAGCCCCAGGCACAATAACAGCACTTACAGTTGACTGGGGCAGCTCTAGCAGGGCTAGAAAGGTGGCATCCTGTGACGGTGCCACGTTGAAAGTCACTGAGCTCTTCAGTAAGGCCATTATACTGCCAATGTTTGTCTATGGAGATTGCATGGCTGTGTGCTTGATTTTTATACCCCTGTTAGCAACGGGTGTGGCTGAAATAGCCGAATCCACTAATTTGAAGTGGTGTCCACATACTGCTGTATATATAGTGGATGTCTGTGTGTGTTTATATATCTGTGTGTGTGTGTGTGTGTGTGTGTGTATATACAGTGCATTCAGAAAGTATTCAGACTCCTTGACTTTTTCCATATTTCGTTACAGCCTTGTTCTAAAATGGATTCAATTGTTTTTTTCATTCATCAATCTACACACAATACCCCATAATGACAAAAATGAAATATCACATTTACATAAGTATTCAGATCCTTTACTCAGTACTTTGTTGAAGCACCTTTGGCAGCGATTACAGCCTCGAGTCTTCTTGGATATGACGCTACAAGCTTGGCACACCTGTATTTGGGGAGTTTCTCCCATTCTTCTCTGCAGATCCTCTCAAGCTCTGTCAGGTTGGATGGGGAGCGTTGCTACCACAGCTATTTTCAGGTCTCTCCAGAGATGTTCGATCGGGTTCAAGTCCGGGCTCTGGCAGGGCCACTCAAGGACATTAAGAGACTTGTCCCGAAGCCACTTCTGTGTTGTCTTGGCTGTGTGCTTAGGGTCGTTGTCCTGTTGGAAGGTGAACCTTCGCCCCAGTCTGAGGTCCTGAGCACTCTGGAGCAGGTTTTCATCAAGGATCTCTCTGTACTTTGCTCCGTTGATCTTTCCCTCGATCCTGACTAGTCTCCCAGTCCCTGCCGCTGAAAAACATCCCCACAGACTACCGTGTAGCTCAGTTGGTAGAGCATGGCGCTTGCAACGCCAGGGTTGTGGGTTCGTTTCCCACGGGGGGCCAGTATGAAAAAATGTATGCACTCACTAACTGTAAGTCGCTCTGGATATGACTAAAATGTTTGCTAAATGACTAAAATGTAAAAATTGTAATGATGCTGCCAACACCATGCTTCACCGTAGGGATGGTACCAGGTTTCCTCCAGATGTGACGCTTGGCATTCAAGCCAAAGAGTTCAATCTTGGTTTCATCAGACCAGAGAATCTTGTTTCTCATGGTCTGAGAGTCCTTTAGGTGCCTTTTGGCAAACTCCAATCGGGCTGTCATGTACCTTTTACTGAGGAGTGGCTTCCATCTGGCCACTCTACCATAAAGGCCTGATTGGTGGAGTGCTGCAGAGATGGTTGTCCTTCTGGAAGGTTCTCCCATCTTCACAGAGGAACTCTGGAGCTCTGTCAGAGTGACAATCGGGTTCTTGGTCACCTCCCTGACCAAGGCCCTTCTCCCCCGATTGCTCAGTTTGGCCGGGCGGCCAGCTCTAGGAAGAGTCTCGGTGGTTCCAAACTTCTTCCATTTAAGAATGATGGAGGCCACTGTGTTCTTGGGGACCTTAAATGCTGCAGAAATTTTTTGGTACCCTTCCCCAGAGCTGTGCCTGGACACAATCCTGTCTTGGAGCTCTACGGACAATTCCTTCGATCTCATGGCTTGGTTTTTGCTCTGAAATGCACTGTCAACTTTGGGACCTTATATAGACAGGTGTGTGCCTTTCCAAATCATGTC